CAGGCCTTCCACGCCCCGTTAAAGACTGGGTGCCTCAGCATTGAACACAGAGACGGAGACAGATAAGCACTAGCAAATGTCATGAGAAGCATGCTAGATGTGCCCTTTGCAGCTCTAAGTTCATTTCGGTCACTGTGACATGCACCCGGTTTTTCAAGATGTTCAAACGCAAAGGCAAGTTCGGGCTTGGAGTTTACGGACGGTGGTCTTGGCATCGGTTCACGCAACTTGGCTTTTTTTGTGATGACCTGGCTGCCCCTCCAGAGTTGAAGAGGAGAAGTAAGTTTTACCAACTCGTCTCTTGTTCATGACCCTCCATCCATGAGGTGACAATCCCGAGTACAGAAACTTCGCTGCGCGATCTCCAGGCCCAGTTAAGTCGTAGAGAAATGTGTCCATGCCATCTACCCGCAGACCCCAGCGGGCTTCATGCTGACACGTTGCATGGTCTTTGTTGTCCTACAGCAGTGCCGGTGTTGGCTTTGAGCGATTCCCATGTGACATGCTTGGGCACGAACTGTGTTTAAGTTGACAGCTTGCCTGCGTGTCGGAACCTACATGCTACAGTTTGCACCCTATGCGGGCCTCGACTTCGTAAGCAGTCATAAGCAGTCTTGCTGGATGTTCGCAGGTTTTGTTTACACGGTGCAGAGCGGGAGCGTCAGCCTCTGGATCACTGGCAGCACCAGAGATGTGTGTGTGTGTGTGTTTGTGATCATTATTGTTGTGTTTGTGTGTGTGTGTGTTTTGGTTGTTCCTCGTTCCTGTAATTTGCGAAGATGTTTCCCGACATGCATTGCAGAAGCCGTGCAGCCAACTTGCCGCTCTGTGTGAACGGCCGGCCAAGAAGCTCCGGGGGCAGAACTGCCAAAACGGATAAAATGCAATGTTTGCACGTCCACAAGCAGGCGCATACTTAGCTGCTTCATGTTGCTCCTTGGCTGTAGGTATAATAAGATGCTGTGTAAGGGACAAGCACACACTGGCCGCCGGAAGCTAATGCCGCAGAAGTGTTCGCAACCCAGCTCAAGTTTCGCACATCTATGCTTTAGGAATTCATCGGCCTCCCTCCCAACGAAGCAGCCGCTGTCGCTACTTGGCTGAATGCAGTGAGGCGGATTCTTGAGTTCAGGCAGTAGCACTCCTTATTGCGAAATGCCGACTTCAAAACTTGCACCGAGAGTTTCCCGTGCCGAGCCACCCGCTTGAGAGGCAGCACACATCGTCGGCTTCGGCCCGCTTGGGTACACGTGACTTGCTGCAAGTGAAGCACCTGCTGGCCAGAGTTTTTTGAACCGCCCAGAAGATCGTTGACCTCTAAGGCAGGGATCCTCAGGCACGCTATGAGAGCTACTTGGCCATTTGAGCGGTCCTGCATGCCAAGACAATCCAAGACCCTTCTTTACAACTTCTAGGGCCTCGGCAAGTGGGCAAGTAGGAGCGAGACTGAGCCTTGGCACCAAGGGAAGCCAGGTCCTGGCTACTACGAGGTTCCCGGCTTCACCGAGGCACGCGAGACTCGCATGTTCGGTTTCACCGAACCGTGTTGAGCAAGTGTTTCCCTGCAATGCAATGCCAGAAGGGTATTGGAAAGAACAGGTGAGTGTGGGCGCGGTGGGCGGGTTTAAGGGGGACTGTCCGGGGTGCTTGAGGCCAAAAGGAAAGCATTCGCTCACACAAGGAAGGTGCAACGAAAGGGGGAGGGGCGGACGGCTCTCCACAGCTATGGTGGGAGGTGCGAGGATGGGGCTATCCCTCCAGCCCTCCACCGCTCCAGCCCTCGCGGCACAGCACACAGCAGCACAGCAGAGTCTGGAGGGCTGTGGAGCGCGCTGGAGCCAGCCCTCCAGAAGCCGACATTCCAGCAGCAGCAGCAGAGGAGGCAGCAGCAGGAGGGCTGGAGGCTTGAGAGTTGGAGAACTGGAGAGGGCTGGAGGTGGAGGGAGCTAGAGTGCTGGAGTTCCAAAGCATCAAGAAGTCCTGTACAAGTTAGACGCTGGGCTAAGGCCGGAGTTCTTGATCGAAAAGATTTCGTGTTGAATGCTCTAACCGTGCCATGTCCACCTCATGGTGGAGCACCCTCTGCTCGCTGCTCGTTCCAAAACCATCTGCTGTCAACCCGAGGTTGCCAACCCTTGACGAAAACAATTCCATTGGTCTGAAAAGGTTTTGGCTTGAGGGTACGATGGGTACAGGAATCTGGCCTCCCATGCAGATAGGTCAGATAGGTGACTTCTTGCATATGTTCATCTCATGTTGCCACACCCAGTAGTTTCCACATCAGGCGCCTCCCGTACGAATCGCTGCGATTTTCACTTTTCATTTGTCGTTTCGACATTAAAACTATGCCTCACCAATGAGTGCTAGCAGTCTACGAACACAGTGGGTGGAGCACACCGGGGCAACTGTATCTTTCACGGCAGCGATTGTGTTCCCCATGCCGGACAGAAGACAGCACCTACAAGGGGTAGTAGATGCTCGCTACCGGCATCCCTGTCCGCACTTCGGTGCGTACTTTACGTGGGTAAGAGGGAGACCCCACGAGAAAGACAGACAGGAGAGGGAGGTGGCCTGTGCATCTGGCTACTACAATCCGTGTCTGTCGAACTTTGTGAAACTTGGGGGCCCTGGAGGAGCTGCTGCGGAAGGTCGCAAAGCGACCTGGCTTCCAGCCGCTCCACGCACGCGTCCGCAAACGAATGTAGCAGGTCTTTCGACCTGTTTCTGTGGCGCATAACTATCATTGAGTGGAGGGCAGGGAAGTGTTCGTGGTTCCCGGCAGAACTTACCGGTTCTTACTTTTTATGTTCTGGATCTCTCCTTGCCCAGCTGTGGTCACTTGCACCCGACCCTCAGAAACAGGCAGAATCGTACTCTAGTGTCAACCACATGTTCCTGCAGCACGCATGAGCCAAGTAGGGGCAGATAAGCCACTACAGTAGCAAAATCAGAAGCCAGGCAGGACTTGCGTCACTAGTTGGTTTGTTGACTGTGGTTGATGGTCCTTCGGCCGACTCCGGGAACCAGCAGCACCGAGTGTACTCTGTCCGAGATGCCATCAAGGAAGGCAGTGATCGTGAATGTGCCTGGCACCTCTTCAGCACAGCTGCATCGGCAAATGCTGACAAGCAGCAATCTTGAGGGAATTCGACCAGCGCACAGAGGGACTTAGCTGAAGTCAGACAAATAAAACGATATGTATGTCCACGACTATGTCTTTACAAAAGTGCGTCTGTGTGTATCTAGGTTCTAGATATCTATGTCATCAGTCAGTCAGTCAGTCAGTCAGTCAGTCTGTTCTTCTTTCTGTGTATCTGTCTGCCTGCCTGCCTTCCTGTCCGTCTGTCCGTCTGTCTGTCCGTTTGTTTGTGTCCGTCTGTCTGTCTGCCTGTCTATCTATGTAATCCCCTCCCCCTAACTATAACCCACCCCCTAATCTAAAAACCTCCCGGCCCCGGGATTTCCCGGTTTCGGGCCCAGAATTGAAAGTTAATTCACGACATTGGGGGGGGGGGGGCTAGGAATGTATCAGTTTTAATAGAGCCAAGCCAAGATTACAGCAGTACCAAAGCGCTGAAGGTTTAGGGCTTGGGGCTTTAGGGTTTAGGGCTCAGGGCCTTGGGTTTAGGGGCCTAGGTTCGCCAGGTTCGTCTTGAGTTGATGGTCCCCACCGTTCGCCCGAGACCACCAAAGTCGCTGCCGGGCGTCATGCTAGGTGACAGAAGTCACCAGGAGTATCATGTGGTCTAAAAGACCAGGAGCATCACAGGATTTCGTCCATCACCTGTCGTAAGCCAGTAGCGGCATCAATGTTGGCTTGAACATCCAACTGAATTCGCTGTAGGAGATTCTGTTGGGACTGCAGAAGTGCAGAGGGAATAGCTTTGCCAGCAAGCTTAGCAGCCTCCTCCGACTTGTTGTTATGGAAGATACACCAAACATCGTGGGCGCCAGCAGCTTCATAATACTCTCTGTGGGCGTTCGTCCAGACGATAGAAACATTCGCAGGAGGCCTTGATTGGAGCAAAGACATGGTCGTTCTGAGGAGGTCCCTGTCAGCATGTTGTACCGATCAAACAGTGTCAGGAAGGTTGCCTGAAACAATCAGCTGGGCCCGCATCACCACAGACTCATTTTCGCAATAAATGGTACACATCTGCGACATAGCGGCTGCAACATGCACAGCATGAAGTTCAGATCGAAACACAGCAGGCCGTCGGCCCACCAGTAAGCCAGAAGCCTTCAGTTGGTTCTTGGAGGAGGCCTCTGCAGCCGCCCATGAACAAAGCAGTGCCTTTGGGTTTCCAGGTTGTAAGAAGAACCATCAGTGAAGAAGAAACGTCTACAAGTAGCCCCGTCGATCATGTTCCGCACCAGGGCAGTGGTAAACCCGATGTTCAAGAGAACCATCTTGACCGCAGAAGCAGCAATTGTCATCTTTCAAGGCGACCTGGTTCTTTCGTCTGCAGGGAAATAAACCACCAAGGCGAGCCTTTCGCATGAAACCTTCCATACATTTATCCTTCTGAGCAGGAAATTGTGCCAAATGGAGACGGTCCAACCCTGTGCCGTGATACACCCCCTACCAGCATCGAGCTCCCAGTCCAGTCCCATCAACTGGTTCTGGAAAATGGAAATCGCCCCCTATGTCTTGTTCTCGAAGAAGGATCAGGGGCAATGCTTTGATCCCACACCTCCCGTGCCAACTGTGAATGCCTGGGAAAGAAACGAAGCAGAGTTGAGAACCTGTGTTTGATGATATAAAGCATCGGTCCGTACCGGGTTCCAGAAAACAAAGGCGACAAGCAATGCAAGTGATACTGCTCTTGCCCCAGACTGCATGATTGCATTTTGCTCTTATTTCTCTGATGAAGTCCTTTCCAGATCTCTAAATATTGCATCCATAGATAACAAGGGGAAAGATACATCTGTTGATGACCTCGGTCTTCCTGAAAGGAGTCCACGGCATATATTGCAACCTATTGAGAAGCACCTTCGCTTTAGACCATCTGCTGCAGTTGTCCTTGCAAGGCCCTGGCGCGACCCAATTGAGTCGCAAAGACATTGGATTTCTTAAGTGAAAGGATCATTCCCAAACTCTCAGCAAGTTTGTTGATGGAGCCAATTGTTTGAAAGGCTTTGTCTGGTTCCCGAAGGAAAATAATCCAATCATTCACATGCGAATACAGATCCGCTTGAGACTTTGTTTTAACAAACGCAGTACAGAACCAATTAATGAGTATCATCTGGACCACAGCAATAGGGCAGTCCTCAGGGACTCCCACCTGTGAGGCAACAGGTTCACCCCAAGTTCCAGAGCAGACAAGGTCCTTGTTGCCAATAAGAGCTTCTTCCAGCTTTGTTTGGATGATGCCAATCATGTCATTGGTACTTCTCCCAGGCACAGAGCCGAACAGAAAAGCAGGGAGGTGACCTTGCATGTGTTTGAGCATTTTCCTGGTAACCAACTTGGCCCAGCGCCGAAGAACAGAGGCCAATATTGTAATCGGCCTCGTGGTTGAGATATCCCCAAGTTTGCCCGGCTTGTAGAGCAGTGCCGTTCCAATTCTAGCCTCGCAGAGGTAAGGAGGCCAGTCTGCTTGAGTGGTAAAAAGGTTGAGCAGGTTGAGAAGGTAAGGCGGAAGCTGCGTAGGCATGTTCTTGAGTTCATAACTGGAGAAGGAATCCATTCCTCGTCGGTTGAATGTCGCAATGATTTCCGCTAAACTTGGCAAACAAGAGAGGGCTTCCAAGAAAGTCGCGTCAGCAAGGCCCTTATCCCTTTTGTGGTTCCAGAATTGAGTCCAATGGTCCTGTGCCTGGTGAAGAATAGCAGAGGGGTTTGCAGACGGTGTAAGTTGTACAATGTCACCCGACAGGATACAGCCTTCGAGCCGTCGCAAGGAAATTCTTCCATTGTGTACTGACATAACCTTCGCAGAGGTCGATCCCTGTTTCCATAATATAGAACCGACCCGAACAAATTGCAAATCATCATCCACCGTCTTGCAAGAAGTAGCGCCTTTTTACCGGGTCCTTGCAACAAGATGGGATGTCCAGTGAATCGACCTTGGGTCGTCCTGGGGCTTCACTGCCTTCTAGAACAAACTCCCACCTTTCTGCCAGTTGTCAGCAAACACATCGGTAATATTATCATCTCTGTGCTTCCGGTGAATGGCCCTCCAATGAGCCTCACACTCCTTAAGCAACTGTATCATGCTGGCAACCGTGGAGGAGTCAGGGATGTGGAGAGGAAAATCATCACGAACTTCCTGCAACCGCCATGTTCGAAAGCACGGAGGGAAACCCGTAGCCGCCGGAATGGCTCGCCAGGCCATAGTTCTTGCAGCAGCCAATCTCTCCTGCAGGTCAGGGCTCATAGCTATATTTTCCAGTCGTTTCTGCTGGGCCAAGAATGTTTCCATTCGTCGAATCTGTCGAACACGTTGAGGAAGCAAATTCGAGGCTTCACCACCAGTAGGCTGGAACTCCCCGGATCTGGCATGGTCTCTGCAAAAGCCAACATGTCCCAGGATCGTGACGCATCAGCAGACGCCATCGCAGATTCCAGGTCTGCAAGCATTCGAAAAGGTGCTTCAGCTTGTAGGACACTTTGTGGGGGCAGCTGGAGTTTGGCCATATCCAGTGGCATCCGACAGCAACGACCAGTGTCAGGCAAAGCCGACCAATCAAAACACAGCAATGATGGGCTTGTGATCACTCTCCGGTTGGGCCGACAAATACATACCTTGAAGCTGAATACCACATAGTCCAGTTTTGAAGACGATTCACCATCCCAGGATTCCTGCAACAGAGCAGCATCGTGCCAACCAGAAAACTCCATGTCAGCCCAAACAGCAAGGCTCTGAAGGTCGCAGTTGAAATCTCCAGCCACAACAGCTGGGATCTGGATCGAGGAGGCTCGCTGCATAACCTCTCGAAAAAACTGTTCGCTGCCTGGTGTTTGAAACAGCTTCCTGGGGGTTGGCGTTTTGAATGAGCTTGTTTGCGACCCCAAGCTGGTTGAAGCTGTCTTGCCTCCTTGGGAAGGCTGGCTGCGAAGTCTTGGGAGTGGCCTTGTGCTGCAAGGCTGCCTCTGCTTCTAACTTCTGCAAAGCTTCTCCCGTCCGATTCTGTCGTCTCTCCCTCGCAGACAAAGGTTCTGAAGGCATTGGCTGTTCTGGTGCAACAAGTGCCTGTTCTGGTACCTGTTCTGTAGCGGCTGCCTGAGAAGCCTGCCTTTCTGCTGCTGGGGCAAACACCATCTGCGTGAGGAGAACTGTCTGCTTCGACAGCCCTCGCAGGGGCCTGTCCTGCAGCGGATGCTGTCCCTACAAAAACAATTCGCTGTGAACCGGTCCTTCTCTGTCCGCGACATGCCCTGCAGGGCCTGCCCTGCACCTTCCGTTGCTGGTCCCGCAACAATGACTGAATGGATAAAATACTCGACTGCCTGCTTCTGTACTCCTGTCCTGTCTGGGTTTGGCCAAAATGGCCTGAAGACTGACAGCCGGAACGGCTGCGTGATGGACGGACAGGACGCGCCGAAACCCCCCAAATGTAAAAACAAAACCCCGGAAATCAGTTTTTATATTTGGGGCATATTAGGGGGTAATACTCGAGGGAAGGGGTTGTCTGCCTATCTATCTATCTATCTATCTATCTATCCAGCCATCCATCCGTCCATCCATCCATCCACATCTCTCTCTCTCGCTCTCTCTCTCTCTGTCTCTTCTCTCTCTCTCTCTCTCTCTGTCTCTCTCCCGCCCCTCTGTATCTGTGTATATGTATGTGTATATATATATACACACATACATTTATGTATACACGGTCCAGATTCACACAAAACGAAAAGCCAAACGGCCGGTCTGTCTTGAGCAAGCCCCTTGGAGTGGTTGATCATTGATTTGGAGATATTTGGAGTATTTCTTAGTCCTGGCCTTTGGGCACGTTTAGTTTCACAAGGAACTAGAAAGGTTTCGGCGGAGCATCCGCACTGAGTCTCACCTAGAATCGCGATTCGCGAGCACGAAAGCACGGCTATCCGTGGGCAAGTGATGTTGTCGTGGTCGAAATTTGGAAACAACAGTCAGGCCAGGGTTGACTTGGTGTTGCAGATGCTGTGGTAGCGTCAGCTTGTCAAAGTCTGTTCCTCAGCCAAGATGCTCCAAACCACCGACCCAGAACACCTGCGATCTGATATGTTCTGAGAATACGGATCCCATCTTCACATCGTTTCAGCGAGGTCTTCGTCGATTTCGCAGTTCGGTTTGTTGGGGGGGGGTGCCGTGCCGGAAGCAGCTTGTGGACAGAAGCCGATCGCTCAGAGTGAGATCTCTGACAAGTTGGCGAAGACCACTCCGACAATAAAGTTGGTTCTTAGTGACGATAGCGGGTTACCGCTGCACTGTGCTTGTTATTCTGCCAGCACTTTCGTGGCAGGGGTTCGACTTGCTGAAGTGGCTGCGTGCCCGACACGGCTTCCTCGAGCCCCGCGCTCGTACTCTGTGCTTCCACCGTAGTTGGAGAATGGACTGCTTCCAGTCTTAACCCACTTCTTGCCAGAAGCAGAGTACCTGCCAAGCATGAGGCTGACCATCATCGTCATATCCAGCGACACATCCCGTGAGTGCATGCAAGATCCTGAGCGAGCATGGGCGGATCCTGATTCATTTTCCTCTGGTGTCGTGTTAGTCTTGGGCAGCCGGCATGTTCCGACGGTCGTCATCTTGCGTTCTTCGCATCACGATGCCCAAGTTCACCACCAGGTTGTCTGCTATTGAAGCTGGGTGCAATGAGTGGCTCAAGAAGCCCTTCAACAAGGAGGCTCGAAGTTCTCCACAAATAAGACCGTTCACCGCTGCAGAGGTTCGACCATCTCAATCTGGGGGGTGTTGATTGGTTCAGATCCCCCCAGTAACGCATCTCTCGTACAGACCTTGGTGTCCAAACTTTGCAGGTCTGATTTCAGCCTGCCGCTATTGCATTGCTTCGATGCAGGAACTCCTGGCTCGACTTTCGCTTGCGATGCGGGCTGGCGACTCAAAGCGTCAATCCATGTTTCTCGTCATGTCGCGCCGGTTTCGGGGTAACCCTCTGTATGTATTGTACATCCGGAAGGCGGAAAGTGTAAATCGCAACACGAGGAGAGATGCACTGAAAATCCAGCTGCATCCGTGTCTGTGGGGCCAGTCTCGGGGACCTACCTGGACCATTCGGCTCATCAACGATTGTGGACATGCATGTTAGACACGTGCATAGGGCCAGTCTTTCCAGGAACTCCGCGGTTGGGCTTTGGGCACCAGTGCTTCCTGTGTTCATGCCTGCTGGGTTTCCTTCGTGCTAGCGCACAAGTAGGACCTGCAGCATCGAGGGAACAACTCAAGATCTCAATCAAGCTTCATTGGCCCTCGGCCCGCCAGGTCTTAGCACGAACTTCCGACACAAGCCGTGCCTTTTTGGTGATAGCTGTGCGATTGATTGAAGCCAAAAACATTTTCCGAAGTCATCTTCGTGATGGTCAGCGATACCGATAACGGGGCAGTTGGATACTTGTATCAAGTATGCAAGCGGAGAGCGAAACAGCTTTGGCTGCCAGCCTGGGGCAGGAGCAGTTGGATAACGGATGATGGTGGAATGTTGGATAGTGTATCGATGACAGCGCCGACTTGCATGCCACACTACACGGTAGCACGTGTGTTGGCTTGCATTCTGTTGGCAGCAGACACGACAAGCTACTCGGTTTGTCTTGTGAATCCCTTCTCAGAACAACCGCATCGAAGAAGGTCGCTGAAGAAGTCGCCTCGAATGGCCTTTGTCCCGGTCTGAGTTCTGTCTGCTCGGAGGAGAGCCCAGGGGTCTCCCGGGGGTCTGGTAATGCGAAGCCATGCAGCTTCACAGCTTTCTTGACCCTTTCAGAGGCAAAGGTGCTTGAGTTAGAGCTCACACCGTCCATAAACCCAAATTGAGAGGACATTCGTGGCGTCGCCATGCACACGCCCGAAATGCAAAAGCGCCGTCCAAGTGCGTCCAGGCAGGAAGTGCTGGTGGTGCAAGACGTGGAACCATGCCAAAAACGGCTTTCATGACCACGCGAACACTAATTACGGATGAGATGACATCGCAGCACAGGCTGTCGGTTCCTTCATCCCGCTTGGGACGGCCATCACTCGAGAGTTTCTCGGCAGTCGAGATATTTCGAGAAACACGTTGCTCAGGCTAACAGAGCACAGCGTAGAACAAGCTTGTGGCCACGATATCTCCAGTTCCGTGTCTCGCACTATCAGCGGCAACAGGAATCTTATAATTAGCTTGTGTCGTCAGTTCCTTAACACTGGCAAGGTGGATGCATGTGTAGGTGTAGGAGAAAGAGACAACTAACCAGCAACATTTAACCGGTTAACCGCGAGCGAGGCAACGACCTGGTACCACTTCCCTGTCTTATTGGGTCGTTATAGTGACTTGAGGCTAGCACGACGGGTTCCTTCGATGCATGCTACCGACTGACTGCATGAATCGTGCCAGAATGTTGCGCCTCGCAGCGTTTCAAGCGGCTTGGTACTTCCCATGCCCGAGTGCTTGCGACTGAGACGACTGGGTTCCTCGCTTCACGCAGATGTGTCGACATAAGTTCGGATGCCAGCTGTTATTGTTGAAGGCATGCCTTGACGGGACTCGCCCGATGAACAGTGCTGGGATGTGTAACAGATCTTTGAATTGACTTGAGGCGAGGAGGAAGAGCAGCAGCATTCGTCCAGCGACTCTTCAGACGAGCCTGGAGCCGAAACATGGAGAGCCTCGTTCGAAAGCTCGGTCGAGAGTCGCTTCCAGCTTAGGCCTGGGCCTGTCACGAAGACAAAGTCCAACAAGTCCACCTCAAGCCACTCGGCTGCACACCACCCCACCCCGACACGATTCACTAGTGTTGATCGCTCCAGATGCGCTCGACATAGTGTCACTGCACATGACCCACCCTGCAAGCGAGGCTCTTGTGTGCGTGTGTGTGCATGCAAGGTGTCAAAGAGCTCGCCTTTCAGCAGGTCCTTTCATGCAAGGCGACTTGACAGATGTTTCATTTCAGCTTGACAATAGGATGCGCACGGCAAGCTCAGGCGCCAATTGTGCGGGCTCTAGCGGCCACTGCATGGCGAGATGCACGCATCATGCTTTGAGAAGCCTTGCAGTTACGCTGATATTGTCGGACCGGCCGCCACACCAAACACGCTCGGAACCCCCCGATGCCTAAAACCTGACGTTTGCGGAAGGAGGAAGCATCGCCAAAAGCAGCACCCACGAGCCCGGTAGTGCCTTAGCCGCAGCGGCACAGCACAGGAAGAGGAAGAGAGAGGATACCTGTAGGATGCGTCATGTATGAGAGTACCCACGGGCCGACGGGAGGTAGCTTTTGAGCTGTGAGCAGGCCGAGGCTTTTGAGCGAGTCATAGCCTGCAAGAGCACGGTAAAACAGCGATTGAGCCATGAACCCTGTCTGGATTTCAGGGGCGGGTGCCTGCAGCATCTGCTCGCTCCCTGAAGTGGGGCGCAGATGGCCAATCTTGTTGGGCTACTTCAACGAACGGATTGCTGGCTGTGCAGCGAGTCAGTTCAGTCCGGACACGTGCCAGACCAATCTGTGCTGCTTACTCCGAAAGGGTCGTTCATAACTCTAAGAAGGTGCCGCCCGAACAGTTCCACCAGCTTCACGGACTGGACTGCTACCGGCAGCTCGCTGCAACGTAAGCTTGTGCTCGGGGACTCCGTGAATCATTGCATTGTCGAAGAATATGTTGCTTTGTGAAGTCCGTCACTGCATGGGAATCGCGTTCTGTTTTAAGATTGATTCTGCTGGCTGGGTTGCAGCTCAAGTGTAAGATAGTGTAAGTGTAACCAAGTGTGTGTGTGTGTGTGCATGTGTGTAGTGTGCCTGCCGGAATATCGCATGCTCGTGTCTCCTGCATCTGCGCACCGTGGCTTTACTAATGTGGGGCATTTGCACCTCCTTCAGGCTCCTCGGGCGACTTCTCCCTGCGGAAGCCGCCCGGAACCTCAGTCCCCGTACACAGAATACTCGGAGCAATTTTCGAAGCCTCCGTCGCCACGCGCAGGTCCAGCAGCTCGTATGCGGCGAGGTGATCGAACCCCAGCGGTGCCCCAATGCGGCAGTGCTGACCGCCTCGCTGCAGGCCCAAGACATCACTCACGACAACACACTGTCTGCAACGATATGCTGCCAGCACAGCTTGAGGGTCATGCAGTGCCCTCAAAATAGAAGTCACGAGTGCAGAACAGGATCAGCTTGAAGATGTGCTGACGGAGCAGTGTCGAATAGACGAGTTCACTTGCGAGCAGTATATCAACCGCCAGGGCGTGGATGACGTCGAGTCAGATGTTTTCATGGATGCTCTGGGCTTTTTGGCTGCCTCTATAAAGACATGAAAGTATCTGCCCGGCGCTTTTGCACGATCTTGTTCAGCGAATTTCTACAGGGGGGTCGACTTTGCCGTAGAAGTCCATGCTGGCAATGCTTCACGGCTTTTTCGGAACCTGGATGTGCAGCAATCGCTGTATCTGCATCTTGTAGTGCCCCGAAGATTTCCTGAGAGAGTCGAAGGACTGCACACTCTGCCTTGCGAGGTCACTTCCTCGATGTACTTGGCACGCTTAGCTCGAAGCCTCAGCAAGCTCGGATAAGATGCATTCTTGCATGTCTTCTACGTGCCCGCTCGCAACTGTCTTTCGCATATTTTGATGGCATCGCAGCCCTCACCTCGACAAAAGGGCTGGGGATCTTGCCAAGCCGATCCCAGGCACGGCAGAAGGAATCGTCTTCTTCTCGTCCGCTGCCATGCCCTCGGCTCACAAGATTTCACAGACACCCCGCCAGCTCCTGTCTTACAGTGTACACTAATGCAGACCGAGGGAGCTGCACGGTGTCTGTGCCCAGGAGCTGGGGGCAAGCTTCGTGGCAATCTCGGGACTGCAAGGTACAAATCCCGATAGAGCTCGATCGTTCACGTCTGGTCTTCCACTGCTGTAACCCTTTGTCTTGGACAGGCACACCTGGACACGAGATTCAGTTGGTGAGGTTTGCCCTGGCAATGCGGGACCGGAGAGGGTTTCAAGAAACACGACCTTATAGGATACCTTAGGCATGCAGTGAAAGGCCCGAGACAGCCTCAATGTTTCGAGCTGCCAGTGGGAGGCCCTCCAACCTCGCAAGAAAACGATAGTGACTAAGCAACAGGCTCGCGGCAGATAAAGAGAAACAGAGAGCGAAAGAGAGCGGCGGAACTCTCATCCCCGAAAGGGGCGACACAGGCCTTGAGGATTGCGGACCGTTGGGAGTAGGCTTTCGGGCCAAGGAGCACCCGCCATCCCACCAACACTGCGGCGGGAAAAGTGATGTTGTTTGGTGACTTTGCAGCTTGGCCCAACGCGGAAGAGATCGATCTATCAAGGAGGAAGTAAGAACTGCTTGAACCAAGAAGCCAGCCAGGCCTAAGCAATTAGAGCGGTGTGCCCAGGGCCCCCTTGGAGAAGAAGCGAGAGGGCGAAAGAGAAAGACAAAAAAAGTAACAAAGAGAATGAAAGTTTGGGAAAACACAAACTTGTGAGTTCACTTAGTTTCCTTGCCGACAGGGACACCCTTTGTCTCCGCAGGGCGGGGGGTGGCGGGGAGAAAAGGGGGGTGCGCCCTCTAATTGATCAGATCCAGCGAAAGGAAGGAGAGAGCGAGTGTGTGCCACGGCGAGGATTCACACGACAAGCAGTTCTCCTCTGGAGCTGTCGTGCATTTTAGGGAGAGCGCAGGAAGAGCGAAGAGATACTGTCACTTCTTGCAGGACCGGCTGGATGAGTTGAGGCTGGAGTTTCATCTGGACTGTAGATTGATTGTCGTCTTGTGAGCGCATCTACATGCCTTAATGTGTGCTGATGTTGACAACACTGGGGCGAGTATGCAGTCGCTCTTGCAACTCAGAATCATTACCAATATGGGACATGGACGCCGCCGTGCGTCTCACCGTAGAGATGACAGCAACTACTCGTAGAATAACAAGCCTGCGTCTTCCGTGGCACCGAGTTCTTGTTGCATTGCAGAGCGCATCTACATGCCTTAATGTGTNNAGTATGCAGTCGCTCTTGCAACTCAGTATCATTACCAATATGGGACATCGACGCCGCCGTGCGTCTCAGCGTAGAGATGACAGCAACTAGAATAACAAGCCTCCGTCTTCCGTGGCACCGAGTTCTTGTTGCATTGCATAGTATGGGCTGCAGCCGAGATTGAGTCGAATAGAGTATGCTCTGCGAGTACTCGACAGGAAGGAAAATCATAGCTGAACATGGAGTGCAATTATGAGGGCCATGAGGACCCATCATGTAAGGATTTTGTGCGCAGTCGCGAGCCGGAAAGCTGGGACGTCTGGCTGCGAGCGAGTGTGTGTGAGTGAGTGAGCGAGTGCGTGTGAGTGAGTGAGTGACTGTTTGTCAGACATGCTTACGTGTCTGTCTTTGTCCGTTTTGCCTGCTTGCCTGCCAGTCGGTGCACACATGTGCGATGCGCGGCCAAATCATGCCGCCCTGTAAGAGGCTGCAGGCAACAAGGACGTAGAGATGCGACACTGCATGTTCGCGAGGCTCTGTCTGCTTCCAAATACAAAAGATACAGATCTGCTGCATGTGCACAAGTTGCAGACCTGTAAGATGTGAGGTTGTTCTTACCTGTCGCTGTGTCGGCTTGTCGTAGCAAGAAGAAGCAGTGAGGCTTTGAAGGAGGGGGGGACTAGTCCCTGAACGGCGGTCTAGACACATGCTGCATGGGTTTGAGAAGAGACGGTATCCTTCTTGAGCAAGCTCTGTGCAGTAGTTCTGTCAGGAAAGCGCTTTCCTCGGCCGGCGAGGTCCGAGCACCCTAGCATTCGACGATCCCCCCTCTTGTACTCGCAGGTGACCGGAAATCGCACATGTTTAGAAGTTGTGTGCGAGTGGAGGTCTCGCAGCTGTCCCTGGCCATCGGTCTCGATATGGGAAAAGCGACACGACTTGTCACCTAGAAGAATTATGAACAAACGCTGTCGTCGTGAGCCTTGCTCGTTTTGCAAGGTCCTTGGACGATTGAGCCCTCATGCCGAAGTCTCAGCTAGCGTAGCCTTGCAGTTGAGAGCGAGACCATCTCTGAATCACGATCATGCCGTTCTCGCTTGCGGCGAGTTCTTTGGGCTGCTGGATGTTGAGTACGGGTTGCATTGTGGTTATCGCGGTAAGGTCACCATCACTGGTCCAGCGATGCGAAAAGCCAGGCAGACCAGAGACAAAAGACAGTCTGGTGCCGGGTTCAACCAAGCTGAGAAAATGTGCGCCGTGGTCATCAGGCTGTTGTGTGACGAGGCAGGCATCCAGACCAGCAGACAGGCCCTTTCGGGGGCAGCAGTGTCCGGAAAGCTTCGCTCAGCTGGCTGGTATTGATGCTGACCTGTCGCCCACATATAGTAACAGCTGTGCTAAACTTGTGCTGCCATCTTGTGAGTGGGCACCCATTTGGTCATTGGTGACATGGCATTCTGAAGAGCCGAGAAGTCCGACTGAGCTGTAATTGTGCAGTCTGTGAGTCTGTGTGTGTGTGGATACAAATTTAAACACAGATAAGTAGACGAGTAGATAAATAGATAGACAAGTAACTTAAATAAATATATATATATATAGATATATGTATATATGTATAATATACACATGCATGCATGCATGCATGCATGCATGCATACATACATACATACATACAGACATACACACATACACACATACACACATGCATACATACATACTTACATACATACAAACAAACAAACATACATACATACATACATACATAGACATACATAGACATAAACAGACATAAATATACATACATACACATACATATACATACATATATGCATATATATATATATGCATATTACACTTTTTGTATGAAATACCAGTACACACACATCTATCTATGTATGTATGTAATGTAATGTAATGTAACGTTATGTTATGTTATGTATGTATGTATATACGTATGTATGTGTACATACAGAAGAAAAGAGCTGCGGGAGGGACGGACCGGATCGATGGGCGCATTGCGTGCGCGCATGGGCAAAAGGAGGGAGGCATCCAAGCCGGACTGAAGGATTCTCTACCCATCCACCCGCCCAGAGGTATTTCGCGAGAGAAGTACTGACCAACACGCGAGTGAGGATCCTCTAATGACGACTACCTCTTGAGGTACACCATGGATGCAATGGACCTGTGCAGTCACCGTGCGAGAGAAGCATTGAGCCACAGGAGGTAGGGAGGTATCCAGTCCTCGAGTCGAGGCAGGATCCATGCACGACATCCGAAGCGGTAAATCCTGTCGTGACGGCTATACGTCCCAGGGGGGACCCAGAAGTGAGCGGCAGGAGGGGGGGAGCAGTTGAAACTATGTATGCATGCACGCATGTCTCCAAAGAAGCTTGATACATTGGCTGCCATGCTTCAGAGACGACTGCCCAAGGGCTTCACGCAGATCTTTGTCTCTCACCTGGTGCTTCGTCGAATAGGTGCCGTTTCTAGCGTGATATTGCGCAGCCAGTGCAGTGTTCGTTTGCTCGAAGATACACGCCATTGCTGAGGTGCTGTCCTTTCCACCTTGCCCATTAAGCCGGTGGACGTCCACACAGGAGGGATTCACTGAAAAGTGCTCACAAGTTCATAGTCAGGTGCACGCGAATTCGCATTGATCCTTGTCCACCGCATCGTGCAGGTATGCCAGCTGCACAGACTCTGCCACACGAGGTCGGAACCCCAACAGCTTCTGCTTAGTGGCAGCAGTGAAGACATTAGCGATGCTGAGCTTGGTTGCTGCCAGTGCTCTTTGCCTGTGTGACTGGATTCTACTTCCCCGAGCCTTTAGTGCATGAGGGCATTGAGGGCCTACTCGTAGGGCCTAGCGCAGTGTCTTCGTGTGAGACGGTTGTTCAGCTTCGCTATGTTCAGTTTCGAACGCAGATCCCAGGAGTCGAGCCAGATATTTGCCCCGAGCTGAGAGCCAGAAACGCATCGCACTAACTCAATATCTTGCGAGCCATAACTGCAAGGGCCTCTCCATTTAACTGAACTGCAGCGGCAACGCTTGACCATGTGAGCAAGGCATGATTTTGACTCGCCTTGGCAGTGCTCTTGCGTTGCGCTCTTGCCGGTTTTGAATCCAAGGCCCTCCTGCAGCCGAACGAGGTCTGTCTTTTGTGATCTCTTGTTTTGTGGAAGACGGATGATGTTGCCGTTGGAGCTGGTTGAGGTAGAATCTTTTCCGTGCTGACGTCGCGAGGAATTCACGGGGACCTCGAAGCAAAGCGCTGCAAGTGCCGCACCGGTCAGCTCATCGCGAGTCAGTTTCGATGTGCAAAGCGCCACCTTGACCGCAATTAGAGTTGAAGATATCGGCGGCTGCGTATTTTGGGGATGAGTCCGATTGCTCGGCGGTGCCCCTGCACAGATATGCTTTGGCTTTCATGTTAAAGGTTATGGCGGTTATGGTCCAAGACATGTGCTCGCAAGAAAAAAACATGCGGCGTCAATAAATCCAGCTTCAACAGAACAGTGGGGTGGGGAGGTGGGGAAGGGTGCTGGCAGGAGCTAGTTGACCAATCCCTGTGCCTGCCTGGTGGCCGCACATGTCACTGCTCAAGCTGCCGCTGCTGCCTCTTCAAAAGAGCTCCAAGTTATAAATCTGCAGGTGATGGCGTCTTTGTTTGAGAAGTTGACTCCACTAGGGTGGCCGCAGCTCTGAAAGTGGCTAGAAGAAGTTGATGCTCAGTGTATTTTCGTGTGACGTTGCATTAGGCTTGAGCCATGTAGCACAGCTTGTTGGCTTGTTTGGTGCATGTCACTCTGCTTGGCGAAACAGCACCAGCCTGGCCGTTGAACAGGCCGCCAAGATCAATGAACTTCGTGGCCATGTGTACATCACGTCATGACGTTTCCATACGTTTCCTTATGCACGCAGCGGTCGTGGTATCGGTCTTCCGCGTAACTATGCTGGGGAGCTTCTTTTTGTGCTTTCTTTGTGGCCCTTGCTTGTCACACTGTTTGTATTCCTCGAGGACGGGTATGCAACCACTCCAAGCAGCCCCAGCGGGCCTCCGCGGACGAAGGTGTGGAGCAACGCGCCGACAAAAGGAAGAGCCACCCAAATCCCCTATGCATCAACACAGACCTTATCGCCTCATCTCACTACTTGTAGATGTATTCTAGTTGTGCCTTCTGTGCTGTTAGAAATGCCCCCAAGCAGAAAACCCTCACTGACTGTCAGTCAGTATCGTCCTGAGTCTAGAGCTGCAGAGAGGATTTGTCAGACTCGTGTGCGTGTGCAGGGCCCGACTCTGCCTATTCCAGCCCAGCATGCTGGCAGCTGAGAAGCTTGAACACCGGGCCGGACGGTCTTTCAGACCTCTCAAGGGCACAGGACACTTTTTGCGTTGCTTGAGCCTACTGCAGTGCAGGCTTCATCAGGCACAGTCGCCCCCTTTCCACATGATACATTGTATCTGGACATGGCCTGAACCCAGGTCCCAGAACCCATCGAAACTCTGCCTAGATGCGGTCTTACTGTACTGCCGGTGTCAGACGGGAGGTTTCATTATGGCTAATCACACACGGACCACATGTTGAGACTCAAAAAAAGGTCGCGAAGCCGAAAGCCTAGACATCGTGAGATGCTCACAAACCAAGAGGCCCCACACGCGTCAAAGTGCAGCAGGCGAGGATATCAAAGTGCCGACCCGAACTGCAAACCGCCCGTAAGAAGCAAACTCTAACAACCCCATCCGCTTTAACTTAAATTACGTGCGAAGGCAAAAATCCGTACCCTGACTTCGACTTTCCACACCTCCTCCGAGCAGATTAAATTTTGCAAGCTATACACGTTGCAAGCGAGGCTGCTCATATTTTGCGTGAAGTCACCAAAGCAACGCCCGAACTGTGGCGAGACCTGGTCACCTCGTGAATGCACCACCAAAGCCACATGTCCAAGTTTGTCGAGGCTTCAGCGGGAGCATACCATGCGCAGGAGGTGCAGTCGCGCTTGGGCCAAGGCCTGGGCAGCCAAGTGATCGACGAGGAGTTTGGAATTGCGGTGAGAACCTATACATAATATGGTGACAGTTACGATAAGCGAAAGTCACAACCGAGGGTAGCAGGGATGTCGACGCAAGTCTTGGCCGACTTTGCCGAAGCACCTGCCTTTACAGACAGCAGTTGATGCTCTTCGGTCAGTGCTTCCTTGATGGAGACGATTTAGTAGTAGCTTGAGTGTTTGTACATGAGACGCTTCAGGGAAAGTACCTTTGGAGCGCGCGTTGTCCAGGCTTTACATCGCCGTCTTCGCGAGGCACGGCTTCAGCCATCCGTGTCCTTCGGGGTGTCGAAGCAGAAGTCTCAGCCTTGCAGTCGCTTGCCCTCCTGTGCCAAGTTGATGCTGAATAGGCGGAGTTCATATGGCCCGGTATTGCTCTGTCCTGGGACTAAGTAGAATCTCTGGAAGAGGGTCACACCTTGCTCTTGACGAGCTGGATACCACCACGGGTGTCAGCAGCCTGTCAACAGCTTACAGAATATGAACAAAGCTAAACGAAAACAGCAGGGCAGACCGCAAAAGAAGCCCTTCTTAAGGTAGACTCTGAAAGGTGGTGGGTTAGTTAGTTCTGCTTTCCGCAGCATACCCTTGCCATGGGCTGTGGCGATGGCGGCAAAGGCATGCGCCGTCTTGCTTTCAAGGCCGACATGAAGAAGACGTCGGAATGGTCACACTTGTAATTCATTTGTAGTAGGAAATGTGTTACTATACTTTGGAGAAGCTCGGCAAGCTCTAAACCATCCAAGCCGTTGACACGAATGTATAACCCACAAACAGCTGCGGCAGCGCTCTGCCTCCAGGTCCTCTGCCCAAACGAGCTCATCGCACGTATTATGGGTAAGGGTGGGGCTCGCAAAGACACTCGGCAGCTTGAAAGTGATGGAACTGGTGGTCATGCCGGCTTGGCTTTGACCCTGCTTGCAGTTGCTCCCTGATGCCGTTTGAGGACCAACTCCAGAGCGAAGCAGGCTGCCGTATCGTGGTCAGCGGCCGCGACGAGTTCTTTCCTGGCACTCGCTGGCGAGTCCTGTTGATTTACAGTGACAGGTCAGAGGCGCGAAGTTCCAACATGCGCAATTTACAACGCAACAGAGTACAGAGTGTTGTGCGGAGTCATGTTCTGGCTGAGGCAATCCTTGCAGTGATGCAGCATGTGATTCGCGATGTCATCGAATGTGGTGCAAAAGAGTCACCAAATCCAGAGGCGGACTTCCTGGGCCCAGACCGTGGATCGTACATTGTTCGATGTGTGGTCACAAAGCAGATGTCATCTGCAATCATTGGCCCGAAGGGCAACAATGCCCGGGCCATTAGAGAGGAGTCTGGATCCAAGGTCGTCATCGACCCCAACATAACTGCGGGGCATCAATTTGTGAAGCTCGTGGGTGAGCCGCAAGGCTTGCGAATTGCTTTGGCTAGAGTCAATCAGTATGTTCAAGAGCAGTACGGAAGTCCCACGTACATGGAGTGGGCAACCATCAAAAGCTTCGATGGCGCTGGGAACCCGATCCATTCAGGCCCTGCAGAGACGGGCTTTAGCTATGGTAGTGTTCACGGCCATATGGGCAAGGGAGGGGCCGAATGGCCAGACGAGCGTGAGCGAACTCCTAGACAAGGCCAGGTTGCTTGCTGGATTTTCGAACTGCCGCCCTGGGTTGTGTTGGGTTCTTTGGCTGGTTCTGAGGCGATGTTGAGGGGTGTTCAGAGTTGTTAGCGTCATAGTGCTGGTGTTCAGGCGTTTGGGCAATTTATTGGTTTTAGTCGTCAGGTGTCACAGTTAAGCGATTCTATGACTATGTAGGTGTCCCTGTGGGTTCTTCCGTAGCTGGCCGCCTGGCGTCGAAGCCGATGACATAGCCCTTCCTTCCGCAACAGTGTTTTTCGCTGTATGTTGACTTGACCAGAGACCCAATCTGGAATCTGCAGCCGTCTGTGATTTTGATCCCCCCTCTCAACTCTGAACAGCCATCCGCAGCGAACCAACAGGCCATAAGCGGCTTCGTCGGCCGTCGTTACTCCACTCCCTCGTACACAGAAAATCTGAAGCCCTGTGTTGAAAGCCCAGTTTCATTAATCGTAAGAGCCCAAAGTAGGTGGGTTGCTGCTTTTTTACTGGTTTTTTGCGACCACCACCACGACAACACTTGACAACAGCTGCAGAAGCCCCTCGGCCAGCATCCCAACACCCAACATATGCCAATCATGAGACAGAACGCCCACTAGGTGCAGAGCAGAACTCCATCCTTGATTTCTGAAGCCGTAAATTTGCCGTGCTAGTGTTCCCACTGCGATCCACGCTTTCGTTTGTCCTGGTATGTCAGAAATGCTTGTTCGGACAGGTGCAACTGCTACACCTGCACAATGGAGCGGTTCCAAGGGTGTCGTTGTGCCACCGCAGCCGCCTGTGTCGGTGTCGCTCGGCAGCAGACCAGCGGTTAGTCAATACACGTGATCTTCACGTGGTGAGCCTCGTAGCTTGGCATGACGTTGGATTCTCTGCTGAGGTCCGGAGATGATCCCGAGACCGATCTCCTCTCCGCCCTGAGCTCCACTGCGGAAGGGTTTCCAGCAGGTCCGAGGTGTAAAGGAAGCTTTGCTTTCAGGCTGATGGTAACACGTCTTTTCAAAACAGCCGGTGCTGTGCTAGAGTTCCAGGCACGTTGGACATGGAGTACACCATCACCTGCGAGCTGCCGAGTGAGAAGGCCAGTGCTGTGCAAGATGTCGTGTTGCCCATGTGATTAAACTCTGGTGTCATCCTGGGCAGCTGCACAGCCTACAGAGCACCAGGTGGGGTAATGACTAATGGCTGTTTTGTGGCGTGAGCAATGCTCTTAACATTGGCGTATCATAGCACTTGGTGTAGTTCAGACCCTCGATGCAGTCTGAGTGCTTCTGCAGGTTGGCCTCCTCATAGGCAAGCGCGGAGAGGATGTACAGCGTATCCGTCCAGGGCCAAGCTTCAACGGGGCCCGGGATAGTGTCGATTCTCATAGTGTCGCACATTGGAACTCAAGGCAAGACGACCGGAACCTACATCCACTTTGACCCGGCACAAGATGGTAGCGATGGTCAGACCCTCACCATCAGGGGACCTTTGCTGAAAGTATATCGCGCCCATGCGCTGCTTATGAGAAGATACCACGAGACACAGGCCGAAGCATCTGGGCAGCACCTGCTAGGGCCTGCTAGGGCCTGCAGTTAAGTGCTTCCTTGTCCATCCGGACGTTCAACTTGCCACGTCCCCAGGAAGCTCCACACAACGGTACGAGCACGAATGGTGACAGCGATCAAAAAGTGCAGGCCCGACATGAATCGTGTTTTTTGCCGTTGCGTCGCTCCTGGCCGAAGCACTGGGCTTGCACGGATCTTCGGGTTGATGGGTTCATGTCGTGACGCGGTGCTATGCAGCACTGAAGAGCCAGTGCGAGCTAGGCCACGTTAGATATTCGTGGTTCTGCCGTGCCTAGCGAGTTGCGGACGATAAATCAGCGATGTCATTGTCTACGTATATTATTTCAACATTGCTGCGATCTTTAGGTGTGCCCGCGATAATGTGCTGCCAGTCTTTCAGGGGAAGGGTCCTCACCTGGCTATGCGATTCGCGATGCGAGCAGCCATGAGTGCCTTTATATAGGCCACAATGCAGACAACTGAACCACGAAAGTTTCATTTGATCCTCTTATGAAGAAGACGCCCAGACGAGTATGTCCCGTGAGTGGAGGACGCATTGACGGCAGTACGACGGCAGAATCAAACATGAAACGGACGTGGACCTCGAAATCCATGTCTCTAACTCGTCCGACATTATTGGTGAGGCTGTCTGAGAACGTTGTGTCCCTAGATGTCCCTAGCATGGAGGTTTTGATGCGTGCGCTTGTTGTAGGTCAGATCTTTTGTTGCATTTCGGATCATGCTGGCGCCGGGTTTGCACTGCACAATTCGAAACTCAATGTTCCAAGCTATCAATGAGAATGTTGGAACCGGGTGCAGTGACACATTTGTTAAGAAGTGAGGCGCTGGAGGAGCAGCTGCAAGCCATGCAGCGGCAGCTGGCAGAAGTCAAGCAGCTGCAGCAAAGCAACACGAGTCTCGGCCAAGCTGCATACGGGGACATCTTGACATCGATGAGGGCCGTGCCCCTTTGTGTGTAGGCGGATCTCACGCCGGCAAGCCTTCCGGGCTGTGTTCTGCCTCAGCTAAGGAATGCCGCTCCTGTAACTGTGAAAGGCCGCGGAAGCGGCAAAGGTTCAAAGAAAGGCCGATGAAGGACGAGGACTGCAGAAGTCTTGAGTTGCCTCCCATCCCGAAGTTGCAGTCACCATGCTGCGATTCGATTGAAACCTCTCTGTGAAGGACGCCCACATGCGTCTCCAGAAGGGCTCTGAAGCTCGACGTCGGAACCTCTTAAGCGGTAACAGGCCGCCCTAGATGTACGTCACAGCTTGTTGGCATTGCCACCGGCGGCTGTCATGTCATCGAAAAGAAGGCCGAGTCTGTCAGTGGATGTTATGCTCTCTTAGTCAAAGGCAGACAGACACCGGGAAGCACACACACACACACAGAAGCTACATAATAAGTTTCAGCCCCTGGCCCTAACCAACCTCAAGTGCAGTGACTGTGCTGTGCGACCGAGTCATCGCAGCAGGTGGCAAGACCTGCTTACGGTCAGTGCCGAACCTCACCCGGACATTTGTTGGGTAAAGGCAGTATGTGGGACAGCTCACGACAGGGATTGATGACCAGCCCTGACTGTGAGAGGCCAGGCCAGGAGTGGTCTCCCCCGCTTCAATCCCTGACGGCTCCTGCGCTGGCAGATGCAGGAGCACAGGTCCCTCCCCGCGTGTTCACCCAAACAGAGGTTCAGGATATGAGCATTGCATCGCTGTTTGCCAGTGTGGCGAAGAGCCATGGGCTTTATGGCTACACCGCTACACCTTCTGTCAGAGACGCGCCAGCCATGGAATTCTCTGAAAGGCACCCTGTGAGCCTGGTCAATCCCTGCCTCGGCAGTGCGACTTGCAACGTAAAAGGTACGTGTCTGGCCCAACGGCCTCGAAGCACCGGACGGACGTACAAGTCTGAGTCGTTCATCTCGGCTTGTCTTTTTCCAGGTGCGCCCGTGCACCGGCTGATGTCACTGATGTTCTGGTGGGTCGAGTTCGGAGCCCCGTGCGGTAGGGCTGAAATCCCCAGAGGGTGTGTGTTCCGGACATTCGTAGGGTCGGCGTCTCAAGAGTTCGCCCCGCCTCGAGCAGCGCAGGGCAGTCGGGAGTCAAATTCTTTACCACACCAGGAATCGGAGCCTGCTGTTGTGGGGAGCCAACTGGAAAAAAGACGCAGGTGAAGCAGCGGTGGTCCGAGGCCATCGCCACGAAAGTGGCGACCGTCGTGAATCGTGAAAAAGCGGCCGGACGGCTCGGTCAAGGCGCGGTTCTTGAAAGAGATGCAGGTCCAGCGGCCGTGGAGGGTGTCCTCGCCCTTCTCCAGCTTCTGTCGGTGGACACCGGAACCTGCGGGTCAGAGATGAAGAGGGGGCCACTACGCGTCCCCGTTGGCTTCACCGCCGCCCCTCTTGCAGAAGGGTGGCTGCTAGCACAGTAATGCAGTTCCTGCAGGCCAGCATGGCATGACCAAACATGAGGCCCGGTTCCAACGTTGCGCCGGTTGGAGCCAGCAGGTTGTCAAGAAATTGGTCGCCAGAAGCATGCCGGATAGGGCTGTCACCACGATAAGCACCTTTGATCAGCACACGTGCGCCTGGACAAGAAGCGTGTAGAAACAATACCGCAGCATGAGAGACGCTCCCAGCTCCCAGCATTGTGCAGCATGGCCGCAGCCGCACGGTTTCCGTGAACCGGAACCGGAATCTGTGCGGTTCGGTTCCTGCGGTCCGATTTGCGGTTCCGACGGTTCGCTGCTTATTTGCTACGCAAGTGTGTCTTCATAGGTGAGGCTTCTGAGTACCTGTACTGGTTTAGCTCGTCTGATTCTGTCAGTCACTATTCTCGCTTTTCAGGGGCCCAAATAGTGGACGCGTTTCGGGCGTGTACGGGCCGAAAATAAGAAATAGTGGAAGAATCAGTGCCCTGCTGGGTGGTAGAACAGGGGGCTCCAGGGGAACAGGGGGTGCAAGAGGGGGCTGGGGGGGGGGGTGTGGGGGAGCGGGGGCCTTCCAAGCCGCCCCAAATTGGCCTGTTACCAGACCTCAAAAACCTTTTTGATAGAGTGTCAGAGAGAGCGAGAGAGACCCGCGGGTGCGCGTCCGCGCGCGGAGGGGTTAGGGTTCGCCCGCCTATCCTTTCCCGGTAGAGAGAGAGAGAGAGAGAGAGAGAGAGAGAGAGAGAGAGAGAGAGTTCCCCCTGACCCACAACCCTGCCGAAAGAAAGAGAGCGCGAGAGGAACCTTTTGCCGGTTCGGTTTCCAGGGCTCCCCTGCGGTTCGATTCCGGTGCGGTTCAGTTCTGCGCGGTTCGGTTGTTGCGGTTCCGGTTCTGCGGTTCCGGTTCGGAACCACGGCCTTCCTGATGGTGACAATGGCATACCGCCAGTGTTGTGGACATCTGGTGATCGGATTGGTGGGTTTTCGTGGAATACCAGAGATGATGTGGTGCCATTGCATGTCAAGGTGGGGTTTCCCCCCTTGTGGCATCCTTGTGCCTTTGCAATGTCGGTGTGCGGGCCAGCGGGGGAGAGGGGCTGAAGTTTTCGGTCGAGAACCGAACGGGTTGGGCTTGAGCCCCACAGCCATATCCGTAGGCAGCTTTGGAGATCGTGGCTCAGAGTCGCAGTTGCGAGGCTCATCCGTGCCATCCCGGGACTGGATGGCCAAGGCCTCAGAGAGCCTCGGTGGGATGGCAGGGCACTACGGCGCTAATTGTGCTGATTGCAAGTCGCACTTTGACAGATCTTGGTTCCTTTGCATAAACCTTCCATGTCAGATCTTGCGTAGTCTCTTTCTTAAGCCCTGCTATGCCACATTGGGCAACTTGTTAGCAATGGTCAACATCTGCATGTACAATGGCTTTCGGCGCAGTCGCAGCTGCTGATCTTTTGCCCAGGCCCTCCAACTGCGCTCACGACATCTACAGCTTGAGAACTCGCAGCTCACACAGTGGCGAACTCAATCAAACGAAACGGGTTAAGAGTAAAGGGCAGAGAAGATAGGGCTGCTGGTCGCTGCATGTCGCTGCTTATCCGTCTAATCAAGGCGATGTCAGACTCTCCAGGCACGATGTCAGCAGCTGCAGTGCTTCGGCGGCAATGGCTCTTGGCTTCTTTGTTGGATGCCAATCACGAGAGTACCTGTAGCTTCAGCATATACGTGACAGTGGAACCGATCTGAATCGCGCCCCCAAGCCCTGAAACGTGGCTTTCAATTGATCTGCGATGCCTCTTTGCAGTTGCCAGGCTGAGTTCAGAGCCCCCCTGGCCATGAGCAGCGAAGAGCAAGCAAGTAACCGGTGAAAACCCATATGTCAGCGCGGTCAACAGCACATTCGGCAAGGTGCCAGCGCATGGCTTTTGAAGAGCAGCTGGAGTCGGCTCAGCGAGAAGAGGCTTGTTTGCAAAGGCTTCGATAGCGATAGGCCTACTCGCACCGCGCTGATAGCTCAGATTCTCTAGGTTTGGCTGATTGTACAGCGACAGTATCCCCTGAATAGACGACCTGACTTCTTCCGTCGCCAGTGGTCCACAGAAGTCTGCTTCGTTGCGTATCAACCCGAGGCACGACGCTTTGAGATGGAAGTGAACTTTTGGCGTCTTGGTGTCGCGCAAGGCCATTTAAACAGGTCTTAGCCTTCTTTGCCGGTACGGCAAGTCAGACTTCCCGGATGCTGTCCAACCCAAGTCTTCTTGCAACAGCGCAAGACCAGAGACCCAGTGGCGAGAAGGTTCTCCAGAAATAAGGGTTGATTGCAGTTGTAACTCTTGAAAAAAACGTACTTGATTTGCGCCGGTAACCGAGGCTAGTGTGTTATGCTGGTACTGGTGCGTCGAATTTGCCACAACTTGTTGATCTCGTGGTGTGATCAAGACAAACAGCTTGCAAACATGCAACGGTGCGGTCATTCTTGCCTTTGCCCTGCGACACAAGCAAAGCTCACTGGCCACAGCCTGGTAACTCCCACCATAGTGGAATCTTGCTGCAAACGTTCGCAGGCTGCATTTCTGAATTTGCACCACAAAGATTGCCTGTGCGTGCTTTTCTGTTGCTTGGCACAGCCCTCGCACACCCGACCACAGTATTCTGGCGTGAACGAGTACAGGATGAGTATACAGCACACTGTACATAGGCTGCATCGGTAACACAGAGGATCAAACCAAAACAGCAGTCATGCCCATGAAAGTACTTTCCGTGATGTCGCGCACGTTGACAGGGATTCTTTGCAGCATTTCAGCAGGAAGCCTTGATGTCCCTCAGTGGTTCCCATGCATACACCAAAGAAGACTTGCTACCGGCAGTGAATCCCATCGGAGTCTGACAATGCCCAACCGTGCAGCTGTACAAAATAGTGATCAACTCGCGAATCGGATCGGAATAGGTTGAGTGAGACAGTGCATCGCTGATTCAGAAAGTTCGCCAGACATCGTTTGCATGTGTGTCTCCCGACAAGTTCTTGGTTACAGAGCATACCGCCAAAGCCCGTTCCGTTTACCGACCCTGCTATTGATTCAATATGCGTGCTGCCATGGAATCAACATCGAACGTGGCCGCGCCCAAGACGGGTTGAGTCACGCAGGCCGACAATGACAAAGCTTCATACATCTTCGCACCATTGAAGGATGGTCCGATGGGCCTGTGCATTAAAAGTCCGATCGGATTGTCTGCTGTGACGGATGCTTGCACTGGCTGCTGGACGAGATGCACATTCAGAGTCCTAGACTCTTGTACCGCAACTTGATAGCCGACACATCATTGCCTTCTCCTCACCTATATTATTGACCAGATTCGAGACGCATCTTCGATTTAAGAAGCCGTTGGGCGTGCGGGGAAGGTGTCGCACAGCGTTAGGCTTCTTGGCCCAAACAACCGGCAGTCGGAAGCTGATTTTCTGAGTTGTGCCAGAAATCGAAGAGAAGTACGGCAGGTATACAACCAAAGAAGACAGACACACGGCTGGATGAACGTAAAGATGAACAGATACGCATATAGTTGCACACACATGTACAGACAGGCGAGCGGGCAGGCAGGCAGGCAGAGACAGAAGACTGACAGACGGACAGACAGCACACGCGCACTCGCACACGCGCACACACACACACACACACTTGCGCACACATTCGTGCAAGCAGACATATACACACACACACACATATATATATATATACACATACGTGCATGCATGCATACATACGATCATACATACATACAGACAGACGGACAGACAGACACAAGTGCGTGCGCATCTACTTCGCCCAAATAAGCACAAAAGCACGAATATACAAAATTATTTGCACATGAACGTTTGTTAGTAATGTCTGCTTGCGGCATGTCGAAGCCAGCTGTCGCCATGGCGGTGTTCCTTCCTATGCTTGCTGCCGCCGCTGCAAACGAGCACCAAGTACTGGTGCCACGTGTGGTGGTAGTGACTGCCTTCCCACCGGAGTTGGCAAGGTACCAGTCAGAAACATTCTGAGTCGGGGGAGTTGTGCGCAAGCATGCAGGGTACAAAGCAACGCTTTGCAGATGTTCAGAGATTGGCACTCGAAACGGAGGTGGAAAGCCCGGTTGCCTTTGGATGATGAGCTCCCTTTTCCAGGTGCTGTTGCCTACGCTCCAGCTTCCGTGAATGTAGCAATGCACCCTGCATGTCATTGACAAAGCCTGGCCAGTCGCACTGTGCAGGGTGCACACACATGCCTCGCAAATCAGGAGGGGCTGGTCTCCAGAGTCTCGCTTGGAACGGACCCTGGATTGCATTGAGAATCCTTGAGCAGTTCTATCTGAAATTGAAGATTGATGGCCTTCTTCCGAAAACATGACGTTCTATCGTGACCGCAGAGTTCTACTCGACATCGTGCGAGGTTCCCTCCAAGTGCTGGCAGGGGCCCCAGAAGAGCTGGTCCCGGACCTGGGCCCTGCTGTGCTCGACTCAGGCCATGGTCACCGGCATGTCATCGAAAAATGCGTCATTGTCCGTGCTCTTGGATAATTTGGATAGAACCACGCTTTGGGAAGTTGTGCTCTTGCAAGTATGGAGATGTCTTCCAAGAAGGTTGTCAACTTTGGGAGGGAGGCTGCCTGTGTGCGTACGAGCGCTTGTGGCGTCGTCGAATCCGAGGTGACTGCCCTAGGCTATGATCCCCGCTTCGATTTGACTGCAGCGACATGGCTTCTTGCAGGCATTGCAGGCACCTTGGATTGCATTCTGCCATATTCTGCTCGAGGTAGCAGCAACATTTGTTGCAACCTCCGTTGTTCCTTTGCGCAATCGTTGAGCCCAAGATACCGTTATACTAATGGTTGGAGCCGTCATCACAGGTGTGGATCCCATGTTCGGCACAGTTGGTGGAGTCGCATGGATGCAGCGGCTAGTGGATGGTACCGTTGCCAAGTACCTCAACGAAAAGGACATGCCGCAGGCCGGCCCATGTGCAAAGACCTCGCTCGGCGTATTCAGACTTGGTCCATCGAGTGTCGCAGGGACGCCCGAGGCTAAGGCGTCCAATGCAGCATGATACCGTAACGCAGTTACACCGTAGTAGGTGGCAGGCGTGCGTGTCAGGTGTCGAACCGACGGGCTCTGCTTTGCTTCTGCTGCCAATCTAGGATGCTGGGAGCTGGCACCTAGTGCGCTGGCCTCGGGTCGAGCTTGGCGTAGCACCTGCAGCTAGAAGCAGTTGACAGTGGCATCGTTGTCAGGCCAGCCCAAGAAAGGAAGAGTCAGTGCGATCCCGGCGTAGTTGTCTTGAGGATGCAGATACTCGGGTAGAACATGGTAGAACCAGAGAGGGAACATCCAAACGGGTGGAGTGAAGTTGGAGGCGACCTGCCAGACAGAGAATGAGTCGCAAGATAACCGATCAAAGACCAGCAGGTTGCCGCAAGTCTGCAGGGGCGCAGAATTTCAAAGCTCTAGCTCAGCTTTGCCTGGAGGACTGGGAAACAGGTTGGATTCCCACGAATCGAGATCGACCTTACGGCTTGCCTCCCCAGTCGCCGGGGGCGCGGGCTGGTTCCGTGAAGCTGCTGGCTCCGAGCCTGGTGCAGCGACCTGGCGTTAATGGAAAATGTTATTGTGTCCGAGCAGCGGGCGATCCGAGCTTCCCGAAAGCTTATCAACTGCGTTGGAGTCAGTCTTGATGACAATGCACCCGGCGGGTTGCAGACCCGGAAGATGAACATTAAGCAATAGCGGCCTCATGCAAAGCTTGTTTCGTCGGAATGCCAGGACAACCAGGAACTTCTGGCAACGTGTTTTCGCACGCTGTCGAGGTATAAAGTAGCAGGACGGACGAGCACATGAACAAAAGCGAGTGCAGTGCAAATGCGAGCTTGGTGTTGCGAACCATTGTCTAGTTGGAAGCATTTCAGTGGAATTTGCTCCATCGGCTTCAGGAGGTGCGAGTGTTCCAGGAAACAGAATGCAGCCTTACCGTAGTGGGTGACCGTCATGCTTGCCGACACGTACTGTCTAGTGGACCTCAGGTGGGCGCATAGCATTACGCAGTTTCTGAAGCTGCCAGATCTGGAGGCCATGCCAGCGCTGGACAAAGAGCCAGCTGTTACACTGTTTCACATTTTGTGTTGTCGGTTGGCGCATGGCCTTCGGATATTGACTCCAGCGAGGTGCTCCTGCGTTCAGATTGTAGGCTCTTGCACGAAACTGCGTCCGGCTTGTACGTTGCTGCAGGAATTCCAGCGTGTGCGCCGACACTACGCCCCATGCTGCGCAGCAGCTGCACAGGCTCCTTCCATGCAAATCTTCGGATGCATATCCACCTTGGGATTGGAAGATGAATGTCGTACGAGCATATTCACTCCTTGTTCGGGGTCTCCCTTGAGGATCATGATGCACTTCTTGATGCTGCTCATCAAAAGGATGTTTGGAGGGTTGCTACCGATGTTGTAGTATGCTGTAGTATAGGCAATAGTGCAGACGGAAGCGCGGCCTTGGGACGTTGTCCATGAAACCTCCTCGACTCACCGGGCTCAGCCTGTGAAGCTGCACTTGCCTTGGCTGCTGTATGATTCATGCGCACTTTGTCTGCATGTGGGTTGGTCAGACACATGGCACGCAGTACACTGCGGCCGGACATACGTTGACATCCTCTTGTGCTGAGTTGCGCGGCTACCTACAGTTTGAACACATTCCTCTCACAGTTGTGGTATTGGCAACCAGTGTCGTCATTGAAGCAGCGCTTCCGACTATCCCACAGTATGTGAGTGACCAGTTTCAGTCCACTGGCTATGTGATGCAATTTGAAGTCGTGTGTGATGCATTTGCTCCGCGTAGTGTTCACATAGTGACGGTAGCATCCATCTGCATTTGAGGCTCCCTCCGTTGAGATGGGAGCTGCTGGCCGGCAAGACATGATCACAGCCAGCGCAACGAATACAAATCAAGCAGTGTTCAGAACACTGAATGTGGAGTACATGTGCCGTCATTCAACGCTGCTTGTCCGAGGATTTGCTGGCAACGGATGTCTTCTGGACAGGCCCAACGCAAGCAAGCAACTGGCCTGAAAAAAAACACCCAGTCTTGTTAGTCTACAGCGGCAACCTGCCGCACTTGCTCTTTACTGCATCAGTCCTGACACCAAGGCTGGGCCAGAAACTGGACAAGTTACTGGTTGCCAGCGGGTGGAGATGTGTGGGACCGGAAGGCGAGGTGCAATTGCACGTGCCAGTGTTCGTACGATGAAATCTGACTCTGGTCAGTGCAGCCACAGTATACACAAGTACACATGACGTCTTTGGCGTGGCGACCCTTGAATGTTGGTTGGATGCTTCATCATTAAGTTGTCGTTTCGAGCTCCGACAGACTATGTGACTATGTAACCACAGGCAGAAAATACAAAGTCTTCCAGTGCATGTCCACGCTCTGCAGCACTCAAGCCTAAAACCTGAATGCCCTAATGCCAGTCTGCGGTGGAGGCTTCCAAGCCACCATGCATCGCTCACTTCCACTCGCCACCTCGACTCCCCTCCTCCCGTGATCGCACACCAGTTTCGGCTCGCCCGGGTGTCAAGCGAGAGGAAGGAGATATGTTAGTTTGAACCGTTGTGATACTCGATTCAGTCACGTGGGGTGATTCAGACCAGGTTGTTCCGAGCAAGAGCTGAAGCAACACCCTAAACATGGAGGCGAGGGGACAGGCAGGACTGGTGGTGTGGGGAGAAGAAGGGGAGAATGGTCGGGGTGTCGTTGAAATGACCATCTGGCACTCAGCTCTCTACCCTGCTTGATGGGATCGCAAAGAAACGATGAGCAGGCTTTGGCCGCAACATCTGCACCTGTTTGCTGCACCATACTTGTCCATAACTCTGCCAGGCTCCTGCATTGCGGTCGTCGGCCGTGCAATTAGCTTTTGCACAGACCATACCGGCTCCCTGTACCCTGAGGGTGTCTTTGCCATGTCAGCGATGGAGGACTTTGCGACAGCTGAGGCGGACCACGTTTGCTTCCGCATGCAGCTTGCGTTGATGTTGAAGCAGTGGCTCTGAGATCGCACAGGCCATCGATGCCTTGCACCGATCAGGGAGAAGTCGAGGTTTAGAAGCTTTGCTGGTGCTTCGTGGCCTGACTGAGTGGAATACCTTCCTGATTCAAAACACAATGGTTCGATCGGGTCCGTTTGAAGCCTGCCACGTCACGATGTGACTGTGTGTCTGTTTCTCGAGCAGTTCGACCCCAGCTGTTCAGGGCAGTTCGGCCCCAACTAGGTCCTAGGTTCCGGGAAATCTCGTCGAAGCTACGCCGACTCACACTTGTGGGAAAGGTGGCATTGCCAGCATGCCCCACCCGGCACTCGGCCCGAAAATGCTGGGACGTAGATGATGCTTGATTCAGGTGCTGCGAGCAACTTTGTGCAGCCTTGGCCCGGGCACAGCACCGGGGCGAGCATGGATTCTTAGTTTCAAATCTCAACTGAGTCTTTGGCCCCTGGGCCTCACAATGCCCTCCACCTAAGGACTTTTTCCTAGAACCCGCCTGCGAAGCAGCTTTCTTGGTCGGCTCAGAGGTGGTCCAGAAGCTAGTCTCTGCGGGTGCACCCAGGACCTGCCCGGCTCTTCTTAACAGCACTGCGGCTGATTGTCTAATGGAACATAGCGAAACCATCGATTGACTGCGCTCACTTATATCCATCTCGCACGAGTTGAACCCTGTGTCCAAGACCTGTGCCTTTGCGCATTACAACAACCGCATCCTAAGAGAAGCAATCCTGTTGCGGAGGAGTGTTGCTTTGCGTTTCGAGGCATCCTCCTTTGCGATCCGCAACCTTTCGAAATGCCCTAACCGATCCCGTCTTGATGTGAGAGTCGTCTCGACTACCCGGCCAATTGGGAAATCGGCAGTCCAGGGCAACCAAGCCGCTCTAGTCATTATTGGTTTGTCGTTTGTAGGTGCTGAGGTTGACGTGCTTTGGTGGGGGGGGGGGGCTGCTTTTCTTGAAAGAGGGGAACTCAGAATGCAGTTGCGAGTTTCGAGTTTATTCGGGCAATCTGCTGCCAAGCCCTGCCCGCTTCTCCAGACCCTTGCACCCGAACTGCTATCGCTAACCGGGCACCCGTAGACAGCAAGGCGGCCTTGTGGTGCACTGTGGTATGGCGAAACTGGCCGTAACTACCCTCTGCTTCGCAACACTCGGAGTTGTGAAACGAAGCAGCACATGAACCGCATGCACCGGACGTCATGCTTGCGGTGGCTCCTGCCCGATGCTTTTTGCAGGTGCGAGCAAGCTTGCTGATTGCAAGACGAAAGCTCCGTCCGAGGGTTTCTCTGGCAGAACGATGAGTCAAGATCACACTTACGCTTAAGTTCAACCAAGTTGGTGAGAGTATTGTCACCAGGGGCTGAACGTGAACATGTGGTTGATGGCAGGAGCTCCCAAGCCATCGACATCGACGTTTGAGCGGCGTGCATTCACACATGCAGCAGGATTCCCCTGCAGAAGGTTTTATGCTGGCTGCACAGTTCTGTGCCGTCCGAAACTCTCGGCGGGTCAAAAGGCGGAAAGCTTGTCACTTGACATTAGCATTCCTGTCGGCTGTAGTGTGGCTAGAACCACCGTCGTCAACAGTCCCTGTGTGAAATCCGGGTCCTGCTTGTTCGGGGTTAATTTAGATCCCTCGATGGTGTATGAAAAAAGGAGGGTGTTTGTTTGTTTGTGTTTATTTGTCTTTGTATGTCTGTGTTTGTCTGAATTTGTCCTTGCTTGTCTGTGTTTGTCATTGTTTTCTATCATTGTCTTTATTTGTCTTTACTTGCCTTTACATATGTTTGAGTTTATGCAGCTATTTTGGCATTGGAATTGGACTCAATGTGTGTCTTGACGGCGGCAAGTGCCAGTGTGTGTGTGAGTGTGCGCGTTTGAAAAACTGCTCGTCTTGAGTTGCCGTACCTGCGGAGTAAGGCTGCCAATGAAATCGTCGTTCTCCGAGCACAGTTGGCCGGGTATAAGGCGTCGGACTCGTCGCCTTGAAGCAAAACTGCCCGCTAGCGGGCAGATGACAGCCGGAAAGTAGACGAATGTGCCGGCTGGTGCAAAATCCGGTCGGGAATCGTGTTGCTCCGACCAGATGTCCGACCAGGGATGGGAGGCCAATTATGTCTTCATTTGTGTTTTTTTATCTTGAAACTTGGTGCCGGTGTGTGTCTATGCGTTGGAATCTTAATTTTTGTGTTGCCCTTACCCAACGAGATAGCTGTCTGATGCGCGCTTTCCCTGTGGGGTTATGCAAAAGATTTCGAAACCTGTCATCATCGGCGACGGCACGGTTTTTGGAACAGTCAGATGGTCCCGCCGAGCTTCATGACTTCAGCTGCAGGTGGAGGCTACAGTTTCGGGACGGTCTTGACTTCACATACAGTAGGCTGGGGTGAGGCACTTGATAGCCTTGGCGTGAGAATGCCTGAGTGTCGCTTTGATTCGATGTTTCATTCTTTCCAAACGTTCTGGGGTGCGGTGTTCGCGACATCCGAAAGAAGATCCACTGCGAGCACAGGCGAAAACCTACATTCCTGCACCTTCCTGCCGAGTGTACATCGCACGAAACATGCACCAACCCGAACTGTGTCAGTTTGCACTCAACCCACAGAGTGCAAAGTTGATGCGTCGCGAACGTGCCCCAGGGTGTCCTTGCTGTTGAGCAGTAGATCTTGAGATTTCTAGCATGTTCTACAGAGCATTCCCGTGACCCCTGTGGAAATATTACCGGTTCAGGATCAGGGGTTTAAGCAAAACGGAGCTTTGCATGCAGATGAGTTTGCGGCATTGCTGCAGCGATTGCACTTGACTGGCTAGATGTCCACGTCGTCCACGTCATGTCGTCTATCGGAAGACAACAACCGTTTCCAGCCGCCTTCTAGATTCTACACACCTTGCCCTGCCAGTAAAGTTTCAAGGCATGTGCCGATGGAGCGGAGCATGTTCGAATCCTAAAGTGACCGAAAAGCGACCGCATTGCTCACAAATGGCCTCGCCGCCGACATTGGAGTCAGTTCCACTGCCGACAGATTGCAGCTGTCCGATCACGCAGGACAGCTTGGAGGTAGGCCTGGTGCGAACTTTGAGTCAGGAGAAGTATTGAAGGATGTGCGAAGGATGTACATGAGATCCCACATGGAGGTGTTCGCTCAAACGCGAAACAGCATGGGAGTCGTTGGATCTTCAATCAGATTTCAATCAGGACCTAATGGAGGACCCAGTGGTGGCGTCGGATGGCACCAGCTACGAACGGCGCGCCATTGAACATTGGCTGCAAAGTCTTCTCGGCCGCACGAAGCACATGCGTTTCAAAAGTTGCGCCTGTTGAGCGCAGCAGGTTACAAAGGTCCTTTGCCAGGTCATCGGACAAGCCCGCTGACCAACCTGCCACTGGCAAGCGAAACTCTGCTCTGCAAAACAGAGATACCGTTGCATAGTTGCATGTTACCTGCCGGGTGAATGAGCTTCTCGATGCTTAGTCTCAGAAAGGAGGATCTCATTCCCAACAATGCGTTGAGGAGCGTGATCCAGGCCACGGGTGCCTCACTGCCTTGCATTCTGTCGTGTTCCCTGCGGTGAGACCCGGCCTGCTGCAGGTGCCAAGAGATTAGCTGTAGTTGCAGCTTCAGCTGGGGTTGTCTTCAAGCATTCTGGCCGGCGCGAGGAGTTTCTCAGCAGGCTCCCCGAGACACAGCGCTCTGAACAGGAGAAGAGGGAGTGACGGCAGAACACGTGCAGTTCCGCATGGGCCGCTTGCAGCAGAAGCCAAACATAACACCCACCGGAGTCATCGTGGCATACGGCGCCATTGAAGGAGCTACGATGGAAGCGCCAATCCGAGACCTTACAGACTCGCCGCTCAGACAGAAAGTTACTTGAAATAGTCGCTGGATGTTGAGAGAATTCCTTTGGGGGTCCATCCTACGTAGCTGAGAATCTTTTCGAGAGCCTGGAGCGATGTCACAAGTAGCTCGGGAAGCTTCCAACCCTGTTAATGCGCCTGCCAGCTGCGGCGGCAAATGTCGACAATCGAGTCTTGCTGAATGTGAGCTCAGGAGCGCCCGAAGATGTACGACCACGAGCGCCATGGGACATTTGCTTGACGGACAAGGAGATGGAGGCGAGCATATGTGTCAGTCAGACCTTCAGTATGACATTCGTCTTCTCCGAACCTGGAGGAAGGTGGCCCGGCTCTGCTCGTCCTCACGATGAGCTGCCGCCTTGCCTTCTTGCACTCTGCACTGAGAGACGCAGCGCAGTCTTGACAGTTTTCCTGTGTCACATAGCTCACCGAAGACTCGAAGAACTGAGAACATGCAGCAGCAAACGGCGGCCTTCGCTGAGTCGTGAAAGCTACGTTTTGCGCCGTGGTAGATGCTTAGTTGTGTCTGGGAAGCCTAGTAACCAGCAGACAGAACGGAAAATGCAGGTGTGTTGATTCTCGCATCATGGCCGAAACTTTGGCTCAGTGGGTTGTTTCTTTCGACGAAAACATGCAAGCATTCAAGCGCCCCTCGGAGCTCGATCTCGAGCCACAGATTCATGAGTCAGCGGTTCCTACTCGGTAGGGAGGAGCCCGGAACTTCCCAAAATTCGCACTTCAACCTCTCAGCGGCCTGCGGGGCTGAGCCAATGCTCTCTGAAGCTAAGATGTTCCCGATTCACATGTGAGCACCTTCATGACATTTTTAGTTGCATCATGGAGGACGAGCCGAACCCAAGGTCCCGGCTTTCCTGCAAGTGGCATTGCATGATATTGCATGCTGTTTCTTTGCACTACAGAGCTTGTGTAACTGCACGAGCACTGGTAGGCTCACGCTGTACCAGCTCCTCCAACGCCTGGTCGGACGACCGCTCACAACTCATGATATCGCGAGAACCTGAAACTCTTACTCTTCCGGGTCCCTGTTCGAACTTGGGGTCTCGCCATTCTGCCGTGTCACCACTGTCTACGTTGTGCTGCTGGAACCTTTCTGGCTAAGGTCATCACACACCAGATCCTTGGCAGCTGTTACCCTTAGACGAAACTTTGGGTTTATGGTGGCTGGACGGCTTGAAACTGATCCCGTGCTGTAACGCGGGCTACGGAGGACGTGGCAAGTCGGCATCCAAGCAACGGTGACCCTGGTGTGCGCCGAGGACGAGATGTGCAGCTCACAAGGGCCCTGTTTTGAATTTGGAGGGTTCTTGTCTGCTCGTGTCTTAACTAGTCTTAACAGCTTAACCCTGAGATGGAGGCTACAAGTGACTGATTTGCTCTTGAGGGCTGGCGTCGAGGCTAGCCGTGAGGCTTGATGTAGCGCTTGGGATGATGGCTTCGCGGCGCACTATTCTTGCAAGACTCTCCACCTGATCGTGTCTAGCTGCTTTTGAAGATTGGAATGGCCTAGCAGGGTACAGTTGACAGCACAACCTGTTCATGGCTTTGTGACCTGCCACAGCTCGAAGCAGCCTGCACGCGCGAACCAATAGCGACTTGCTTGAGCAGCAAGTTGAGTTTGGGGAGGACGGCCAAGACTCACAGAAGGAACCGCATGAATACAAGGGAGTTGGAGAAGGGGACTGACCGTGAAATTGAAGCTTAAGTGGCACTCTACCGGCAATACAGTTTAGTGAGCGTCAGATGACTCGCAAATCCCGTCCAACGCCAGGGCAAGGAAGCCGCCAGTGAGCTGTGCCCCACGGCAAAGGAAGCCGAAGAAAATGCTTGCCTTCAGGCGGGTCCTCGTGTTGTCACTTGCTTGGGAGCTCGTTTCGGGGGATTTCAGGGCAACAGGCAAGCACGGACAACAGGCAATGGCAAGCCACTGTCTTATAATTTGGTTGTCATCTTGGCTTTCGTTCCCGTCGCCGACTTGCTTTGTATAACATCATGGCATTCATGTAAGCTGATGTCCGTTTTGTGTGTGTCAATTCGTGCACTCACGCGAGGCTTCGTCTGGTCCCAGTCAGCCCCGTCGTTGGTCCTCTTTCTCTCCGGCAGGCACTCTTGATTTACGGGGATGAGATACGCGAGCTCATCGCCAAGCAGCCAGCACCGCCTCCACCGGGCAAGCGGAAAGGTGCCCACCGGGGGCTGCTTGGGACACACTGAAGCCATCTTGAATGAGCCTCTTGCATCGCTTTCCACTTGGGGTGCCATCTTGAAAAGCGATGCAGCAATGCAGGAGCCGCAACACGAAAGCGCCTTGTGCGTGGCAGATCCCAAGGTCTCCACTCTCCAACCGAGAACATTTGTTTCTGTGAAAGCTCGGCGGCGCGCCTTAACGATCCTTGTAGTTTGCATTGCGGTCGGGCTTCAACCTGCATGCGTCGTTCCACCTGCGGGGAAGAAGAGCTCCTGTAGCTTTATTCTGTTATAGCATTCCATAACTCTAGAGGGCGGTCACAGAGATTTCTCTGTCAATGCGTTAGAAATCGGTAATCAGCCTGAGCCCTCAGAGAGGCTCACTTGGCATCATCTAGTTTTTTTCCGGAAGCCCTTCATAATTTTAACGCTACGCCGCCCGCCTCGGCTGCTGAGGGGCAGGGGGCACGGGAGACACGTCGGTAGCGTTGGTGCATGTCTGCAGCAGAAGCCCAAGAGGTCGTGGGAGGAAGACAGCGAGTAGACTTCCTCAAGATTGCCTTGGAGCCTGCAGAGTAGTGCAAGCACGGCGGGCGGCAGCAAGCCACGTGACAGCAAACAGTGAGGGGTCCGAGGCCGACACGTGAGGTAAAATCAAGGCGAAGCCGGGCGGGGGGGTGGAAAATAGACGCAAAAAGCGTATGGGTCCAACCACTTCGGCTGCAGGGAGGAAAGACGCCTGGGCCGGAGGCCTCGGCGGATGGCCGAGGAAATTCTCCGGCTAAACGAAAACGAACGAGCAACCGACTGCAAATCCAGAAATTTCCGTGCGCCACGCTGTTTCCTCTGCTCTCGGTTACGCTTGCCCTGCATCTCTTTGTCATGTGCAACGACTCGGGCTTGCTGGCTCGCCGTTTTGCATTGGCGCATGCTAAAGAGCACGCCGTCAGTCGGCCTGCTAGGCTTGCAGCCTTGGATGAACCATGAGGTACGCTGGTTTTGCCTCCGAACAAGCGTCAGGCCAGGCTGTTGCTTGATTCGACTCTGTACAGGCCGAGGGGCCTGTCTTTGGATGCCTGTCAGCATCGTGTCACTGGCACAGGCGCTTGCGGAACCTTTGTGATGGCCTTAGTAGTGTCTCAAAGCAATCAGAGATGTAGCTGGAGTAGTGTTCCATCCAGACGCTTGCATGCAGCATGGAGGGCACAAGTTCAGAGCATAGAAGAGTTGGGAGTTTGGTCCGTCCAGCTCATGCTGATACTGCAGGCGACCGCCTGCAAAGCTGTACGGTGCTTAAAATTGTTCGCCCGTCCCTGTTCTGTGTCAAAATGCGCTTGCAGACCAATGAAAACGGCTGCAGACCCGTTGCATTCGCAAACTCCCACTGCATCTGTACTCCGGTGACAGGTTAGTGGCCACGCCGAAGCCTGTTGCCCGACCTGCTGATCCTGTGGAAGCTTGGAGACTGCATGTCAGAGGTACATAATCTGCGATGTCGAGGTTGCATTGTGATTATCATAAAGCTGCATTCGAACTCAGGAGCGGAATGAGGAGAATGGCGTAGCTGACGAGCTGCAGCCTCACACTGTCTCACATTCCTTTTCGCAGCAATATGACTTCATGATCTTGTCAGTGCACATGGACTGCACGAGCACCGGGGAGTCCTCTCAGAGTGTATGAAACCTACATGTCCCAGCACTGTTTGTCTTTCTTCAGTGGTTGGGCTCTCAGGGCAGATGTGCATCAGACAGATCCTCCTGAAGAAGATGCTCCCGCTGAAGAAGCTGGTGCTCGCGATGGCTTCACTGAGGAGGAGGTCTCAGCATTGCCGCTTTGATGCATGGCCGTCGCTGTTAAGCCTTGTCACCTGGGTGCAGCAAGCTGGCTCACTGGACTTGGATTTCTGAACGGAAGTGAGTCGTTTCGTCACTGTATGGCAAAAGTTCTTCTGTAGGCCGAAGCCCGCAAGCGTGTTTGGTCAGCTTCTTTTCAGAGATACTTGCGGGAAGAAAAGAACTGGGAAGGTTTGCAATGCGCCAGAAGAACCGCACAAGTGCAGCGTGAAATTTTAGGGCTTGTTAATCCCTTCCCCCTAATGTTAAACGGGGGGGCCCAATAAAAGCCCGGAACATGTTTTCATTATTAGGGGATCCTTTTTTGTCTCTGCTGCCACTTTTGAAGGGTCGTGCTCTTGCTCGTGCTCTTGCTCCCGCGCTGGCTTTCGCTCCTGCTTCTGCTGCGTCTCTTGCTCCTGCTCTTGCTCTTACTCCCCCTTTGCTTTGGTCTTGCTGATGCTTCTGCTCTTGCTCTTGCTCTCACTCTTGCTGTGCTCCAACGGTCTTTGGAGCCTCGAAACCCTCCCCCTAATTCAATGTAGGTTTTAAAGGGCAGGAATGATTTCGGGAGGATTCGCCCCAATGTTGGTTTTTCACTATTGAGGGGGTGTTTAGTAAAACGGGAGGGGATTAATTCCGAAAATCGTGTGCGGTCTATCAGCTCTCCCGGACATACGATCCCTTTCAGTTCCTTGTTTTGTGGTGTCGTCCGGCCCGGCTTTGCCGCGCGCACGGTCGCCGATAATGGCATTGGGCGAAGCAGCGAAGAACCATCGCAGTGTGTTCCAGGAACCTTCCAGGCATGGCGAAGGTCAGGTCCGGAGAAACGATCGTGCCGATGTGTGCAGGTCTTTGAAGGAAAGCTTGGGGAAGCATTTGGGACAATAGAAACACGGAGAATGCCCACGACCACGGCCTTCAGAGGGCCGCCCAAGAATTCCGACAGTCAGCTGAGAACGTGCCCAAGGAGATCTGGGCAGATTTCCAGCCATGCTTGAGCAGCTACAAATACAGATTTGTTTTTTTCTCTTGTTGAAGACCGAGGACATAGGTATCATAGTTCCCGAAGTGTTCCCGACAGCAGAGACTTTGTGGGAGAGCTCTTCAGCAAATCATTAAGCCGCATATTACAAGATTGGCACATTTGCAAAAGGCATAGGCTTGGAGGCTGTAAAATTCTGTAGAAGAGTTCGCGTTAGCGACCGTTAGGGGTGGTGGTCAGGACATGTTAGGACCTTTGCTTCTACGGGGTTGGGCGCGGATGTTGAAAGTCCCGGGGTGCAGTCCTCGCTCCGGCACTGCCACTAGCACGACAAAAGCACTGTCTTTGTACAACATGGTCCAGCTGTTATGAACTCTTGTGCACGCTACTACTTATGTAGCTGGAGTCATGCGAAGTGCGATGCCAAAGCCTGCTAGCGGATACTGAGGTCGGAAGCAACCGCGAAGTCGAAACCGCAACCTCCTGCAGGAGCTGCTCCCTGGCAGGTTTAAAGCTCCAGGACGCAAACCTCCAACATCACAGAATGCACAGGTTGTTCGGCTGATTTCTGGCTGTTGTGGACGTAGCGACGGGGTGTGCTTCATCGAAAGTTTGGGCTTCGGGCCGAAAAAGGTTCAGGTTCTCGCGGCCGGGCCATGGAAAGCTTCCCGTACTTGTAGCTCAGGCGCTCATCCGGCTACCAGGGACGAGCCCACAGCCAGCAACGGACGTGTTCCGTGCCATGCCCAAGCAGGACTGGCCTGCGGACCTGGAATTTGCCATGCCACGGATAATTGTCGGTTGCCCAATCTGGGCTGACAGACGTAAATTGACATAAATATAGTTAGTTAGACATGCAGTTCACCATGACAGCCAGGACTTGAATGCCCTTTGTGGCAAGATCGCCAGAAAGGTGATGAACAAAGGCTGGCATCCGGGGCTGTGGTAGAGGAGTGCAGCCTATTGTGCTGTGTTGTTAGGAGCGACGAAGAACTGGTCATGGAAATGGGAGCTGTGCATTGTGAGTGATTCTATGATTCAGCAGGCGAAGTGGCTTACACCACACTGCAAGCGCCTGGGGCTGCCAGAAGGGGGGAGGGGGGGAAGCAGGTTAGGTAGGGTCTCTTACCCCTACCGTTCAAGGCGACGAATTACACAGATAATCAGATAGAGGCCAGAAATGATATGCCAGCCAGCATCCCGTCATGTTGGGGTTGCTTTGGACGGAGCTTCGTTCGGCTCTGAAAAAGGCAGATGAAGCTGGGAACACTTTGTTGGTGACTCGTGGCATCGAACGTCCCCACCACGACCGCGACCGCGCTGGCCTGAAAACAGCCCTAGCAGGTAGTTGGCGGATACCAGAGCACCGTCACGTTGAAGTGCTTTGACGGAGACTGGGCCGATGCGGCTTTCGTTGGCCAAGTGCACCCGCAGAAGGCGCTTTGAAAGGGGAGAGATACGTTTCTGACACAGGCCTTGGCATATTTCCGTGCACCAGGGCCAGCGATAAGTGTTGAAGTCTCCTAGACCTGCGCCTTACAGATCTGGTCTCCGAAAAGCCTCCAGGACCCGGAAGATCTGACCAAGAGACCCACTGTCCAAGTTTTGATTCAGGGAGGCATGCCGTGCCGTCCCAAAGCATGTAAGACGAACAGAGTATTGCACACACAATGATGCTTGTGCTTGCGAGAGTTGAACTGGCTTAGTTTATGCAGCTTTTGACTTCAGCTGGGGACCTGTTTAACTGTTTTTGGCTGGGAGGGTCTTCGGTGCTGCCGCTGCCAAGTTTGAACACTTGTGCAGGTCGGTGCCGAGCATTCGGCGGCCTCAGTCGCTTTGGCAGAGCTGTGTGCTGACGAGCAAATGGTTTCCAGGCGGTGTCCAACAATCGACCAGTCAGTAGACTATCCCTCCCCTCCCCCGCCCCTCCCTCCCGCGCTCGCGCTCTCCCTCTCTCTCTGTCTCTCGCTCTCTCTTCCATCCCTCCCTGTGTCTCTCTGCCTCTCTCGCTCTCTCTCTCTCTCTCTCTCTCTCTCTCTCTCTCTTCCCTCCCCGCACCAAGTATGTACGCAAGCTCGAGCATGGATGCATGCCGGCATAGACATCAGAAAGAGGTAGGCATTAAGTGCACGCATGCCTGCATTTCTATTTGTGGAGTTGTTTCTCTTCGTGACTTTGCGCGTGGATGTGCTCCCCACGGCAAGCAAAAGAAGTTACAAGTCCCAAGAGCTCGAGGTGCTTCAACAGCGGTTGAAGTAGTATCAGGGGGCAGGGAAGAAGAGGCAGAAACATACCAACTTCATGTCAATGTGACCCTTGTTAAAAGCAGGGCGAATGCCAAGCGAGTGACACGGCTGCATTATTCCCTTGACACACAGCTGCTACAGGGTTGAACTTTAGAGCCGCTAGAGATGTCCAAGTTAGCTTTGCATGCAATACCATAGATATTCTGATCTGTCAGGGGTGCGGCATTCAGTCGGGTTACCTGAAGATCTCTGAAGCGATGCGCCCAGGAGAAGCCTCGGCCTGTAGGCAGAGGAAAAGGCTCGCCAGCCCGGTTTCAGACACGAACAGCTTCGAGTGAGGATGGCAGCGATTCCTGACCATGCAGGATGGCAAAATCAAGTTGTGGTCCCCAGAAGAGTGAGTCAGGCCGGGCCACCATTCACACAGCATCCAATGATATCCACAGTCCGAACAGTCTCAGAACAACTGTGAGGCCACTCTTGTTCAAGTTCCGTGTGTGAGTGATCGAAAACGATCCCGAGGTCCCGGCGGCGTTTCAAGTCGGCAGTGCCTTCATCTGAGTCTTTGAATGGGCTGCCAGCGCCGCCGCGCGCCACACCCATGCACCAACCTTTGATATCCCCTCCTCCGCAGCACAGCCGAGGAGTGGCTTGCTTGATGTCGTGCAGCAAAGTATGTCTGCAGGTGTTTCGTAGTTCGCCCTTCGAAAGCACGCTTAGATGATGGCGAGACGATATGCGATTCGGCAGGTGAAAATGCGAAAGAAGCTTGCAGCTGTGTGTTGGTGGATGTTAAGCGTGCAGAGAAGTCACGAGACCCTGTCCTCTGCGCCAGTCAATCTTTCTGAAAGGTTGGCATGTTGGGGCTTTTGTCCGAGCTATTCAGTTCTTTGCCGGAATGCTCGCTGTGAGCACTTGACATCACTCGGGTTCAGTTTGTGTCTGCGAATCATGTGAGGGAATCCCGCGAAACCCTGACCCCGCTCCGGGAGTGCACGGAGAATTTAGACTTGCCCTGGCAGGCGTGTTGTTGATCAGGCTCCCAGTTTCCTTTTTTCGTCTCGGCACGCTGAAAGAGCGCCTTGCTCAACTCTTCAAGGACTGCAGATCTGTCTTGCAGCTCAACGACTTTAATCAGAAAAGCATGTCCATGCAGATGTTGAAACGGGTGTGTCTCGGAACTAACACATGAGCTTCCCTTGATGAGGAGGAGTCTTCAGGCAGTGTACAGTCTCGGCTGGGTTCCTGCCAGAGTCTCGAACCATCTCCGATATTTGATGTCATGGCTCTTTGACTGGAGTTGAGGTTCGTCGAATCTATCGGAAGGTCCTTCGCAGTTGGTCCTAAGCCGACTTGGGACCGGTTTATGCGAGATGCTCAGCAGGTCCACACCGCCATGACCTCTGCCAACCTGACTGCAACCGAGGACGGATCCACATCTTAGTGGAACTGCGAAACTGAGTCTTGCAGCATGGCCAGCATCCGGCTCGAAACAACTCTTGTTTGCCATCTTCTTCACAAGCCCTCATATGTAGGCATGTCCAACTTCAGTTCGACATGGTAAAGATTTTGTCATGCCTTCGCGTGTACGGTTTCCAGCACTGCCTGCGAAAGCTCGACGATGGTGTCGATAGTTTGTTTATCGAATCTTCGTAGATCTCAGGTCGCATTTTGGTATGTCGTGCTTGGGCCCTAGCTTCGGCCAGTTGGAAATTCGTGCACACATTGAGTGCACCATAGGACTGGCAGGATCAACCCCTCACAGCGGACGGTTGAAGATGTAACACAGCTACCTGCAAGGGTTTGCATGCACGATGTATCGAGGTCATTCTTCGGCATCGTGTTGAACAAGACCATCCTGTCACCAGGCTGCGTCCCAACGGGTGTTCGGTAAAGAGACGGACGGACGGACGGACGGACAGACGGACAGAAGTGCAGGCACGCGCTCACGTGATTAGGACAGCAGTCTCAGACGCAAACGAAGCGGCAGCTGCAGGAGCAGATGGCCATGTAGGGCCTTTGGCTTTGGTGCTGGCAGGAACCTCAGAGACAACTTAAGAAAGCGTCTCGCACAGCATCCACGCAGAATGCCGCAAAGGCTTGTTTAACACACCCTCAGTGCTCTTTGCAGAGCTTGTCAAAAGCGGTCGATCTGTTGCCGCACTTCAAAGCTTTGGCTTCGGACTCTGGCGACCAATACTTTCAGGCGCAGATGCTGCCGAAACCTCGGCCATGGTAGTGCGAGCCCAGCTTGCAAGCGACAGCGCTGTCACAGCACGACGAAGCGCGATCTAGTACTTGCATTGTTTGTCTATGTCTTTAGGTCAGCTGCAGACGTTCAGCCACAGACTCGCCGAGGTCCACGGTGGTGTTCGGCAAGCTGCGCGAAGTCATTGGCAGGCCAGGGAAGCAAGCAGGATGCAGCGAAAAAGCGAGTAGAGCCTTGCGAATTCCTCGTCAGCACTTAGACGACATCGTCCTGACGTTTCGAGTCGAAGAAGGCAGATTCAAACCTTTGCTCCGAGACGGGAGCTGTATGTTTCACGGGGGGGCCACAAGAAGCAGCGCGTCAGATACAGCAGGTTCTCCGAGTTGGTGGGATGACAGACTGTGGGCGCAGCTGTAGAACTGTCCACATGAACAGGCCTTCCACTTCAACGTCAAAGCTAGATTGGGTCCAGAGCTCAAGCCTTCAATGCCGTGTTGCCTATGCTGAAACTATGTTGCAGCAGGCGGCTCTTGCTTTTCGCATGCCTTTGTGGGATCACGGCACGCTTGGGCACTTCATGCCTTCGCAGCCGAGGTGAAGCAGAGAAAGAGTTTGCTGGTCCTGGGCCTTTTCCGGCGAGATGCACAGATGCACGAGCTCAAGAAGATGGGAGCGCAAGCAAGTAGAAGCCGCCTCGTAAGAGGTTCTTTGTTGCGGTGATGGGCCTGATCAGCTTGCGATACGTCGCGGCGTCCTTCACGGAGACGATCAAGGTTTCTCGGGTCAGGACGCAAGAGATACATCTTTGCCGGCTGCCTGGCTGCTCGCAGGCCTCCAGCCCCTTCTTCACAGCCGGGTCCTTGTAAGTGCAGTCATGGCCATGGCAGCAGGGCGGCCACGCGGCCAGGCCCCAAGTTAACAAAAGATATGGCTGCTAATGGCTGCTCTAGGTGGTGGCTGCTTGGTTCCTGACCGGTGAGCGGACACCGCCGGGGCCGCAGTTGTTGAGCCAGTGAGCCTCAGTGAGCCATGGCACTGGGCAATAGCGGGCCCACCTGGCAGCAGAAGCTGACCGAGGGATCCATTCTGTGATCAGCAGAACTAGGCACTTTCCTGCCTTGGCATGCCCTGGGTTTCGTCTGTCTCGGCCTTTGTCGGTCGGCTTTCTCCGGTAGGATATGATTCCGTGATTCCGAAGAACGCCTTTTGGTGCCTCGGGCTTTCGAAAGCTACTGAGGGGAGGCTTTGCAGCTGCCCGATCCTTTTCTTGTGGCTCGGGGCAAATCGCTGGGATGATTTATCGGCTTGCCGTGGCTCGATCCCTTGACCAAATGTCCAACCACTGCCTGTCCAGCTTGAGGCTGCCGGTGCTGATAACTCTGGTTCCAGTTATGCTAGGTGGGAGCTGGCCGGCTTACACTGAGCTCATGGAGACTGCTGTATTCACTGAACGTGTAACCTCCAGTTGACCGATGACCCCCGAAGTCCAGACAGACTCATCACCTCGCGGCCCTCCCTCTTACGAGGAAAACAGACGTGCCGCTCGCCAGGCCTCATCACAGCGGCCGCTGGCGAGCATTCCTTCGCGGTGGCTTGACCCTTGGGTGAACATGGAGACAAAACTCTGCCGGCTCGTTCCCATCGCAAGATCGGATACAATGGATACAAGTTCACACATACATCGCCGCATCGGGACCTATGATTATCAGGGGACTAGGCGGAGGAATGCGGAGGAGCAACGCTGACTTTGCAGCCTGGCCTGGAAACGGCACAGGTCGGTTTTGCGGCTGCTGTCATGGCCAACTTAGCCGAATGTGCCAAAGCCTGAGCTGGTCGGGCAAGCCAGTGTTACCTTCACATGAAACCCTTGCTACAAATGTCGACACGTCTGACTTCTTTTGCACATGTGCTTGTCAGAGGTGCCCTTGAGTGTTCGGATCCTTCTCTTATCCTGTGCTCAGGTCCAGAACGTATTCTGTTCGCAGCTGCTTCAGCGATCAACTTACAGCTCGAAAGGCAGCTCGTGGACGGCGGAATGAGCGGAAAGCGCGAATCTCTTCGACCCCCGAATGAGGCCGGGACCTGATGGAGCTCGCTTCACCTCCGGCCAGCCTGGAGCCAAGAAACGCGCCGCGGCATCTAGCATGTCGTTGCAGCTGTTGGGGTCCTCTAGTGGGCTGTGTCAAATGCGCAATCTGGGAGACGATGCGTCGCAATAGTTGCACGCCTGGTGCGACTAAGGCTCCAGTACTACAGCGCTTGCGCATCACTGGCTACTCGGATGTGGAAAGCAATCCGGAAGACTGCTCCCAAGAGGTGTTCAGTGAATGATTGTACGGTATTATACGCACACGGTTTAAAGCGAAATGTCTTCCTGTGGTGGGAGCCACTTCTTCGTGAATCACATAGACACCAATCACGGTCGTCCAGGGCATGCAGCTCGCGCACACGCACACACACACCCCGACATCCCAAGACCCCAAACGAGCTCACTCTCCTTCTAAAAAGGCTGTTGCTGAACCGTTCCAAGCATCGCTGCACACGGATCTGGAGCCAAGCATGTAGCACTGTAGATCAGGTGAAATCCATGCAGCACTCAGTCAACATCCAGACTCCGATTCCACTTCGTGGTCCTGGTGTGTAAGATCTCAACAACCAATCACGTCTGGGCGGCGTGATTGCGGCAATTGCCTGCACAAGTCCCATTGACAATAGGATGAGAAGGCTCAGCACCGTTATGGGTTCCAGTTAGGAGATGCCAAGGTAGTTCAGATTCCGTTCTTTGGTGCAGCTTTTCTTCAAGGCAGGCTGCGTCCGGGTACGTGCAACATGACTGGACTGGTGGAGCAACACGTGCATGTTTGCTACCATGTTAGGTCAGGAATCCCTGCACAGTTCCACAGACCTGTTGCGTAGAACACGTCCTGGCAGCCTCAGGCAGATACGTAGAAGTCAGGGCTGCCTGGTACATCGTGCACTGCTGCAAGTGCCGACCCAGTATTGAGCGTCCAGTGTCGGAGTCATGCAGTCGGTTCAGGCAGCCTGGTACTTCCGAATGCGGCAGCTTCGTCAGAAAATCTGGGGAGTGGCGAATGCGTCATCAGTGGAACAATGTACAGAGTTCTAGAGGCAGCATCATAATTCAATTACGCTGTGGGCATCCCAGGCACTGCAATGGGCATGGCTCCTTATTGCAGGTTTTGCTTTTTGGCAGCACGAGATACCAACTTCTTCGCCTGCTCTTCAGCAGCGGCCATGTGCAAGCCAGCCAAGGTGTATTTCTTACAGTCGCGTGCTTAAGTGTGCCCGGCTTGAAAGATCAGTTGACGGGCCGCGATCTTGATAAATCTGC